CTGCACCCGTGCCTGCACCCCGCACGAGTTTTGAACCACAGCTGGCGCCCAATGTGGGGCACGACACCCACGGACTTCAAGAATGAACAAGCCACTTCCAACAGGGCGCGGTGTCTAGACTCCTCTTGTTTTCTCAATGCACCCCGTGCATTCCCTTGCCTCTATTCTGCTATGCGTCCATAGACCCACAGAATAGAGGCCAATATCAGCTCGCTGGCTCGTCCAAGCACAGCCACGCGCCCCCACAATCTCTGCCCTGCTGCATTCTCCCTCCCTGGCGTTTAGGGCCCAGAGCAGAGATTCAAGAGTCTTGCACCCACGCCCGCTGAAATCTGGCTGAGTTCATTCCTGCCCGAGTACCAAGCTTTCTGCGCCCGCTTCTGCTCCACTGCGGTGATCTCCGCCTCCCTGAGACATCTGCTCCAGACAGGAGACGTGGACAACCTCACGCCCGCAAGCTCCCAAGCCCGTTAGTGGTGGACAATGTGTACAGAGCCAGCTCCAAAAGCTCTCCCCACTGGTGCCTGCGAGAACCGTGAGTTACATGTCCGTGAGTTACATGTCTGTCCATCCATACTCCACCTCCACTCTCTCTCCTTCTCCTGTTCCTGGCTAACATCTTTTCTCTAATTGTTAACTACAGTCTAACTCCTGCCTAGTTCAAAAGACTAGGTTTCTCTCTCCATGTGTTCTCTACAAGATGGCGGAGACTCCTTAATCTCCATTCTTTACCCCTCCCCCAAACAATCTCCCGTGCTCTGCCTGCCAGCAGAGGTTTTCCCCTTCCCCTCCATCTTTCTCACAATTGAAAGCACCAGAGAGCTGCCTGCCAGCTTCTCCCAGGAGCTACTGGCTCCATGCCTGAATCTAGGTGTCTTCCTCCCAGGGCTCAGATCAAGCTCCTATGTTTCTTGCTTTGAGCTTTTCTTCAAAGTTGGCCTTTCTTTTCTTTCTCTAAGAAAAACAAAGGGGGGAATGCCCTGGCTTCTAGCAGCCCCCCCCCCACTGCTTTTAAACCCTTCATTAATAGGTATCCCCAAACAGGGATACCTACAGTAACGTTTGTGCTTTTCAACCAAAAATTTTTCGCCTTTTGTTTTAATATTTCCTTTTCTCTCTAATCCAACACTTTCTTCAACTTTTAAAATTTCTTCAAGGTTCGAAAGTCATCTAAATTTACTTCCACAGGTTAAATCAACATGCTGATAACCATCTTTCAGCTTTTAATTAACAACTAATTTCCTTTCACAGACAAACTGTGGCTGCCTATACCAGATACTATTAACACAATGTTTTTCTCCTTCTGCTGCTTCCCTGTGATTATACCCACAGATCCAACAGCCCATGGTGCACATGTGCACAGGGCACACACTCCGCAGATCTAAAGGAAGACGGTTGCCCTCTGTCTCAACCTGGTCCTTCTTTCTTACGTTGCCTTACGGATACAAACTTGCTTTTCTCTTTCCTGTGAACTCTAACACGGCACAATGACATCATCATATTCTCTTGGGTCTTCAATGCCTACGATAAGACTCGACACCAGTTAATCCATCACCTATAGAGGACCTACTGTGTGTGTAAAGCTTGGGTCCCACTGGGTGAGACAGATGAATGGCGAGAGTTAGACAGAAGCCGTGAATTCATTCATTTGCCAGGCTCCCTTCACTCACCGGTTTCTTCTGAGAATGAGGCTGCGCCCCGCCCACTGCCGCAGCCGGCTCTGGGGACCACCAGGAGCACGGATAAGGAGAACCCAGCCCTCATTCCCAGTGAGATCCTTTCTTGCCCGTGGACAGAAGCGAATTGTTTCTGAACGAGACAGTGAATGAGGCCACTTGTTCTGGAAAACCAGGTGATGGAGAAACCTACCTCTCACATTTTTACCTATCAGCTCGTTCTATAAAGGGCACCAAGAGAAAGGAAGTACAGGGCTCTAAAATGCAGAAAATAACACTCTTCTTTTTGACTGCTGAGACTGAACCTTGTTACGTAGCCTAGGCTGGCCTCAAATTCACAGAGATCTACCTACTTCTGTCTCCACAAGGCCAAGACTATTTTCATTTTATATGGAATAGGATTATATGTATCGAAGCTGATTTTTAATTCATTTATAGCCAAGGATGACCTTGAATTCTCCTCCTGAGGGCTGGAATTTGAGGACAATTATCACCATTCTGAGTTTATACGGTGCTAGGGACCAAAGCCATGACTTTGTACAAGCTAGGCAGGTTCTTTGCCGATGGAGTTACATCCCCAGTTTGTCTTCTAAAGAAGTTCTCCCAAAGACAGTTTACCTTGATGCAGTTACTGGTCTAACCTAGCAAGTCTTGAGAAGAGGGGGGCCCTCCATGGTCCCAGGTGTTTCAGGGACTCCTTCGGTAATAAAATGGATGTTTGCCCTCCCTGGAGTTCCTGTTCCGGTTCAAACTCTATGATGTCATCAACTGGTTACAGTGGCTAAGGGGACCTAGATACCTTGGGACTCTTTTTCTTTATAAGAGATCAGAACTAGACAAGAAGGCTGGATAACCTCCTCAAACCTGCTGACATGTGCTGAGAGACCATAATGGTACAGCAAGCTAAACCTATGGGCCAGGTCATCTATCCCAAAAGGATGCTGCAGACTCAGAGGGGAGTGGGATAGAGAGTTGAAGGTGTGGTACCCAGGAAGGAGAACTGAGGAGAGGTTACAAGGACAGCTAGGTTCCCAGCTAATAAAGACAAAGCCTCATGGGCTGGGGAGATGGCTCAGCAGTTAGAGCACTGGCTGGTCTTCCAGAAGATACAGGTTAATTCCCAGCAACCACGCGGTGGTTCACAGCTGTCTGTAACTCCTGTTCCAGGGGATCCGACACCATCGTACATTCAGTGTGTAAAATAAAAACAAATGCACTAGAAAATAACCGACAAAGCCTGGTGAGATTTCTTCAGGGCCCAGGAAGGTTGGGAGGCAAACCATCAGGAGGCAGACATGGGAGAACACAGTTCCAGGACAACCTTGACTGTCTCAGAAAGGCAACAGGAAGTGACCGTGAGGGAGCTCAGCCATTAGGAGTACTCACCACTAAGCTGAACCTGAGTTCAGTCCCAGAGCCTACATGGTAAAAAAGAAAATTGATTCCAGAAAGATGCTCTCCAACCTATACACACATACATACGTGCACATGCATACACATATACGTACATACGCATGCATGTACACACAAAAATGTGAAAACTTAAAAACCAAAGGAAGACCGGGCAGTGGTGGTGCACACCTCTAATCCCAGCACTTGGGAGGCAGAGGCAGGCGGATTTCTGAGTTCGAGGCCAGCCTGGTCTACAGAGTGAGTTCCAGGACAGCCAGGGCTACACAGAGAAACCCTGTCGTGAAAAACCAAAAAAAAAAAAAAAAAAAAAAAAAAAAAAAAAAAAAAAAAAAAAAAACCCAGAGGAAGGGACTGGAAAGACAGCTCTGGCTAAGACCAGTAGCTGCTCTTCCATAGAGCACAAATTTCATCCCCAGTACCCACATGGCAGCTCACAACCATCTGTAGTTTCTGGGGATCTGATGCTCGCTTCTGGCCTTGTAAGTACCAGGCATGCACATGGTGTACAGTCACACATGCGTGCAAAACATTCATATGCATAACATAAAAATAAATCTTTTTTGAGGAGGGGAAATAGTGGGGGAAGGAAAAGACCTCCCCAAAGAAACATTATATCCAAATACAAAAATAAATTTCACAAATCCTGTAACACTTCCTCAGAGACGCACAGCTTTAAACCACAGAAAAGGTTGATGGTGTCATCTAGGACCTGTTCACAGAACTACATGTTCACCGACTGTTTCAGAAAGCGTTGTAGAGGCCCCTTCAGTTCCCTCCTCTGGCCCTAGCCCTGGCTGCCCATCCCCCTCATTCTTCTCCCTTTGTTTCCCATGAGAATGAGCTGCCATTCCTCCCCACCTCCCCCACAGAAAAACTTCTTAGAAAGTTTTAAAACCATATTCCTCCTTTAAGTATTTAAACAAGGTGATACAGACCTGGGTTCCTTCTGACAATTAAAAAAAGATATATCCAGATTATTGGTGGTGGTCCACGCCTTTTATCTCAGTGCTCGGGAGGCAGAGGCAGGCGCATTTTTGTGAGTCAGCTTGGTTTGAGGTTAGCTTGGTCTACAGAATGAGTTCCAGGATGGCCAGGATTACACAGAAGACATGTCTCAATAATAATAATAATAATAATAATAATAATAGTTTTTTTAAAAAGATATGGAGGCAGAGGCAGAGGCAGGCGGATTCTGAGTTCGAGAGTTTGAGGCTAGCCTGGTCTACAGAGTGAGTTCCAGGACATCCAGAGTTACACAGAGAAACCCTGTCTTGAAAAAAACCAAACCAAAATAAATAAATAAATAAATAAATAAATAAATAAATAAATAAAGATATGTTTGGCAGCAAGCTTACAATCTCCTTACAGGTTGTCCTCTGACCTCCATGCACATGGCATAACACATATACACACACAGACACACATACACATGAATACACACCTACATATGTGTGCACAGGAATATACACGTACACATATCCACATACACACACACACACACACACACACACACACCCCTACACATGAACATATATCTACATGTATGCACACACATCTCTACATGAATACACATCTACATGTACACACACCCAAATATACACCTGAACACATATCTACATGTGTGCACACATGTACACACATCTACACAAGGACACATGCACATACAAACACACACACACACACACCTCCCAGCTGACACCAGTTCAAGAGCAGGCACTGTCAGGTCACATGACCACTGCTCAGTCATAGGAAGTGCTTGACTTCAATCAAGTGAAATTTGGATAGTCGGTTCCACAGATCTTCTGTAGGCAGGAAGTCTGGACTAGACTCTACAGACCCTTATTCCCCCTTGATGGGACATGGAGATGCCAACAAGCCTCTCGGGAGAAAGCTCAATACTTCAAGCCAAGGTTCCTGGAAACCCAAGTTTCTTTTATTCACAGACCGTATTTCATATACCTAACGGTCCTTGAAACAAATGCAGACAGCAGCGACACCTACTGTGTCACATGAATGAAAACAGTACCTGCAATGGTGTCCCACCCCACAATACACACATGGGGGATGACACCCCAGGTGCTCACAGAGTGGCCTGAAGTGGGTGCGATTCCTCCTGGCTCCAGGGCAGTGGACTCCTCCACACTCGGAGATGCGGGTGCCAAAGCCCTTGTTCCCCCCAAACCCCCGGTGCCTATAACGCCAACATGATAGGTGAGGCCATGTTGACCTAGATCCCCTAGTTCACTAAGCCTTTCTCCCTCTCAAGGGTTCAGGCCCAATCTCCCACCAGAGGTAGCTTAATGCCAGCTTAATCCAGCAACCCCAAGACCTGATCCTACTGAACGCTCACAGCTCTAGTGAAAGACTTGCCAAAAAGGAGTCTTTGGGACCAGATCCTTTGATTTTGAAAGTCAGCCCATCTTTGGCTAAAGTACGCCAAATAGAGGTGTCACCGAGTGTCACTGCCAAGCCGGCACCAGGATGCCTAGAGTTACTGAGAGAGGAAGGTCAGCCAGGAGGTCGTCTGGTGGTCTCTGGTCATCATCACCCTGCTGGGCCACCTAGTTGTCCTTCCGTGGCTGCTGTAACCTCTTGGCTACAGCTGTGATCAGAGCTGCTCCCTTCCCACTGCCATCTTCTGACAACATGAATGTCACATCGCACTGAGGGGCCAGCTCTTTCACCGTCTCCTGCAGTATCCGAGAAAAGCTGGGACAAAGTGGAAGACGGGACATCAGCCCTTGAAGTGACTATACCATTGTGACCCAGTTTTCAGAGCAAAACCCCCACTCCCGTGAGTCAAGTATGGTGCTAGGTGTAGGATTCTCACAGGACCAATCTAAGGAGACTCCCTCCATTCCTAGCTTTAGGGCTTTTGTTGGGGGTGGGGGATGGGGCTCTATCAAACTGTCAGTGCTTTTTGTCAGCCCTGACTGTTCTGGAACTCACTCTATAGACCAGGCTGGCCTCAAACTTAAGAGAGTCCCCCTGCCTCTGCCTCTCAAGTGCTGGGATCAAAAGCGTGCACCACCACTGCCCTGAGGTGTCAGCACCTATGGTTTCTTTCTAGCCTTTGTACAAATCTTAGTTCAAGAAAGAGATTTGGAGCTGGCGAGATGGCTCAGAGGCACTCGCCACCAGGCCTGATGACCTGAGTTCGATTCCTGGGTGGGTCTCATGTGCTGATAGAAGAGAGCTAATGCCGATGCATCCACATATGTACATAGATACACATGTATGCATATGTATATATATACGAAATAAATGTAAAGATATTTAAAAGGCTATATTTGTAGAAACCAAACCCCAAATGTGTGTCACACAAGGGACAAAGAAAAGAAGCTGTAGCCTGGCAGTGGTGGTGCACGCCTTTAATCCCAGCACTTGGGAGGCAGAGGCAGGCGGATTTCTGAGTTTGAGGCCAGCCTGGTCTGCAGAGTGAGTTCCAGGACAGCCAGGGCTACACAGAGAAACCCTGTCTCAAAAAAACAAAAAACAAACAAACAAACAAAAGAAGCTGTAAGGCAGAGATCAAGCACCACAGGGATTTTAAAATCTTGTTCCACATCTCCTTGTCACCAGAGGAAGATGAGAAGCATTGGAGAAAACAATAGCTTCTGCTGGGCAGCGGTAGCACACTGCTTAACCCCAGCACTTGGGAGGCAGAGGCAGGCAGATCTCTGTGAGTTTGGGGCAAGCCAGGTCTACAGAGTGAGCTCCAGGACAGCCAGGGTCACACAGAGAAACCCTGTCTCAACCCTCCCTCCTACCCCTAAAAGCAAGTAATAGCTTTCATTACAGAAGATATTAAACTTTAGGCTCATAACATCCTATGAGGACTATGGTTTGTTTGTTTGTTTGTTTGTTTTTGTCTCCATTCTATATAAAAAGAGTCAAAGCTCAAAGCAAGCAAAAACTGGTCCTATGCCACCTGGCTTCTGCTGGGTGGTGCCCATTTAATCTCCGGGCATCACACCCTGAGGGGTAGAGCCCCCCCGCACCCCCTGTTGACCTGGCTGGAGTTTAAAGGCTGACTCCTAGCCTCACATGGACAACCAGGAGGCAGGAACACTAGCCCTTTCATCAACCTCAGCAGCAGTGGGCTCTACCACGCCCAGTCACCATCCCCGTGGAGCCACATCGTCCCGCTGTGAAGATGAAGAGTCTGTGTGGGTCCAGCCGGGGCCACCCACTTGCCTGCCCTTTGTCCCGGTTCCCACACCCATCTCGGGGACTCACTGTGGGTGCAGCTTGTACAGAGTGCCATCCACGCCCACGGTGACCTTGAAGTGCTGCAGGCCCTGGTCTTCCCTCCTCTTCTCCACGATGGCAGCCATGCCGGCACCGCACATCTGGGCAGCCCTCCGAGACACGGCCCCGCACACCTCCTTCACCACTATACTGTCTTCACACGTACTGTCCAGGCCCAGCTGCTGCAGGATCCTCCTGACTTGCAGGAGGGCCAGCCGGTCACTGCAGACAAGCAGGCCAGAACATTAGCAGCTGTCTCCAGCCCCCGGACCTGCTTCGTGTGATCCAGAGTTTTGTCGCCTGGCTGTGCCTTAGCCTGAAGAGCCCTGTCAATGGCTGGGGGTGCAGAATGTCAGAGACATAGGAAAAGTCCCCTACACTAGGAAGTCCTATTGTCTTTAAACAGCAAGATGTAAGAGCACACTTTGCCCATCTCACTAGGAACCAATGTTAGATTCAGAGGCTAATGTACCAGATGCCCATTTCCCAGTCTGAGGTTCAAGGTACAAGGGCTATCTATCCTTTTAGACAAAAGTCTCACAGAAACTTAGCACTCCCCTATAGCGCTCTCTCCCAGTTCTGGAGGCCGATTTCCTCCTATTACTATTTCTATTGTTCTGGGTTTTGTTTCTTGCCATGTAGCCTCTGTCTGGCCCGCCATTCCATCTGCAGATCAGTGTCAAATTCACGATAATCTTCTTGCCTCTACTTCCCCAGTGGTAGGTAGGATTAGAGGTATGTGCTGTCGTCCCAGCGGAATATATGCTCTTTGAAGACAAAACCTGTGCAGGGCTGGGATAGTCAATGACTAAAGGATATTCAGTGACTAAAGGAATATAAGGTGGGCTGGGGAGACGGCTCAGAGGTTTGGAGCACTGACTGCTCTTCCAGAGGTCCTGGGTTCAATTCCCAGCAACTACATGGTGGCTCATGGCCATCTATAATGGGATCTGATGCCCTCTTCTGTCTGAAGACACTGGCTGTGTACTCACATACATAAAATAAAACAAATCTTTAAACAGCAACAACAAAGGAATAGATGGCACACAATGACTTGAAGGATGGGAACATTTAACCCAGAGAGACACAAGTGGTCAAGACACAGAGAGAATAGAGATTGCTGAGTGGTGAGCCCTAATCAGGATGTCTGGATCACGTCCCCTCCTCCCAGGGCTTAAGTGTCATCTCAGAGGAGGAGCAGAAAGAACCAGAGGTAGTGGACAACTACCACATCAAAACTGGACACGACAGGAGAGCTGCACGCACGATTCAGAGTGCACGGCCTAAGAAAGGCTTAGCCCCCAGCATGGAGGGCTGAGGAGATCACAAAGCTCCCTTGGTTGAGGAGCTGTGGGCAACTGATGGCTGCTGGGAAAGGAAGAGCCGGCTTGAGAGAGCTTTCTTTAGGGATGGGGGCCCTGGGAGGCTGCCCGTGCTCCCGCACATGGCCATACAGTCATGCACATACAGGCAGCATGAGATCCACTGTTCCCTCCCCAGTATTATAAATACTGGGGAGGGAACAGTGTGGGAGGGGGTGAGGTAGGAACTGGTGGGGAGGAACGGGGTAGGTTTGATCAGAATAAACTACATGCATATATGAAATTCTCAAAAATAGGGTTTTTTTGTTTGGGGACTTTTTGTTTTGTAAAGAATGGGAACCAGCCAGGTGGTAATGGCACACACCTTTGATCCCAGCACTTTGGAGGCAGAGGCAGGCAGATCTCTGAGTTCGAGACCAGCCTGATCTACAGAGTGAGTTCCAGGGCAATCAGGGCTACACAGAGAGAAAAACTCTATCTTGAAAAACAAAAACAAACAGACAAACAAACAAAAAGAATGGGAACCTGATAGGACCATGAATGTATACAGTGAAATGGCACCACGGGGACAAGCTGGCTTCAAGTCTAGACCCCAGTTAAGTCACAGAGAGCCAGCGATAAGAAAAGGCAACCTGCACTGAGCTCTGAGCTCTGAGCCTGTGAGGGTGCACACTTGATGAGCCCTCAAAAGAATGGCAGACAAGCCCGCCTTGGAGGCTGGGATCACACAGTGGGCCAGCCAGGCTACAGAACGACTACAGATCTTCGGCCCCTGAAGATGAAGCCATTTTATAGTGTGGCTGCAGAGACCAGGGGTGATACAGCACTGTGTGCTGTTTGTCTTGAGGTGACCATGTTTGTTTGGGTTTTATTTCTTGTCTCAGTGAGTGTGTTTTAATGTTGGTTGCTGCCTAGGAAGGTGGAAGGACAGACAACTCCCAAGACATTGGTCGGGTCATAGGAAGGACAGACAGCTCTTGAGACACTGATCAGGTCATAGGAAGGACAGACAGTTCCTGAGACACTGGCTGGGTCATAGGAGCTTCTTATTTTCTTCCTTTCACTTATTTTTTAATTTTCATTTATCTTGTGATGCTAGGAATTGAACCCAGCCAGGCGGTGATGGCGCACGCCTTTAATCCCAGCACTTGGGAGGCAGAAGCAGGCGGATTTCTGAGTTCGAGGCCAGCCTGGTCTACCGAGTGAGTTCCAGGACAGCCAGGACTACACAGAGAAACTCTGCCTCGAAAAACAAACAAACAAACAAACAAACAAAAACAAAACCAAAAAAAAGGAATTGAACCCAGGCTTCCTGCATGCCAGGCAAGAACTCCACCAACAGAGAAAGTGAACTCTTGCCTCCTCTTCCTTCTCCCTCCATCTCCCACGATCTTCCTTTGAAACCCAGACTGTCCTCAAACTCTGATCTCCTGCCTCAGCTGAGTGCTGAGATACAGGTGACCGTCATACTTGGCTTCTAGGAAAGACTTGTTTGAGCTGAGAGGACACAGAACACAGGCACAGGCTAGACAGGCTGACTGAGGGAGAAGCTGTTCTCAGAGGATCCCACCCGTTACACCTGCTCCTTAGCACGCCAGACCACTGGTGACTCTGACTCTTCCCCCAACTCCTCCCCGATCCCTCTTCTTCTTTTTAAAGATTTATTATTTTTGTTTATGCGTATGAGTGTTTTACTTGCACTGTGTGAGTGACTTTCACCTGCAGAGGCCAGAAGAGGGCACCACATCCCCTGGAATTGGAGTTCCAGACAGTTGTGGGCAGTCACAAAGATGCTGGGAACCGAACCCAGTTCCTCTGCAAGATCGGTCACTGCTCTTAACCCCTGAGCCCTGTCTCTCTAGGCCCTGATTTCACAGTGACTCTACCTTCTACAGCCAACTCTGCAGACAGCACAAACAATACAGGCGCTCCTCTGTGAGCACTCTGACTTCACTGGTAAAGTGAGCTGATGTATTTGTTTTCTGTTGCTGTTTGCTTAATTGTAGTTTTGGAATAAAGTCTTGCTTGTTATGAAGCTCTGGCTTGCCTGGCACTTCCTGTGTAACCCAAAGAAATCCTCCTGTTTCTGCCTCCCTAGGACTTAGATAAGAGGTATGTACCACCATACCTGACTCTGTCTCTCTTTATGTCCATTACTGGCCCTAGGAGGGCTTTTTCACTCAAAACCATCTAATGAGAAAGACTAATGAAGTTCAGTGATTAAGCACAGATTGGGAGGAACCAGCATATCTACATAACTGGTGGCATCAGAAATACAAGCACTATTTTGTGTATTTATTTGTTTTGTTTGTTTGTTGTTTTGGACAGGGTCTCATATAGCCCAGGCTGCCCTAGAACTCATTGTATTTATTTATTTATTTATTTATTTATTTATTTATTTATTTATGGTTTTTCTAGACAGGGTTTCTCTGTGTAGCCCTGGCTGTCCTGGAACTCACTCTGTAGACCAGGCTGGCCTCGAACTCAGAAATCCGCCTGCCTCTGCCTCCCAAGTGCTGGGATTAAAGGCGTGCACCACCACCGCCAGGCTAGAACTCATTTTATGACCAAAGATGACCTGAAACTTCTCTTTCTTTGCCTCTTGTACTAAGGTTACACACATGTATCGCCAGACCTGGCTTATGCCATGCTGGAGATTTGAACCATGAGCTTTGTGCATGCCAGGGAAGCATAGCAACTGAGCCGTGTTCCCAGCCTCAGAAGCCACTTTCCAAAAAAGCAGCGCACCCTCAGGGAAGTACTCCATTTGTCAAATGTCCCCAGGTAAATAATTCATAAGATGCAAAATGACTGTATATAAAAAGAGTACCTATTATGGTGTTTCTTAGAAAACAAAATCCATAAATTATAACCTTGGCATCACATACTTAGGGGAAATTTAGTAAATTATAGTATAGTAATGGAAGTTTTTTGCAGTATTTCAGAATGATCATTACACTAGAGAGCTGCTAAAGGAAAGTTTGCTTTCAAGAAATATTCTAACTAACTAACGGTGGTAACACAAGATTGTCACCATAGATATCGATGAGTCATTTCAATATAGAAAAAGGACAGATAGATGGAAATCCAACACTGAATCTGAGCGGGGATCCAGGGTAAATGCAAGATTTCCAGAAGATCCGGGAGACAAAGGAGAGGATTGAACGCTGTCATAAGCATCCAAGTCTGGAATGCAGGAAAGTCAAAGGATGAAATGCAGTTTCTCAGCAGCTGTGCAGTTAGGGAAAACAAGGAAGAGAGAGGAAGGCCACAGAGTCAGACGTGCCTTAGACACGCCAGTCAAACAGAAGGGCCCTGCTTGCCTAGTAACGTATCCTGAACAACTGCATGGCCGTAATCGCGTTTGTCTGGCAGTTCAAGAAACAACTCAAAGGTATTTCTGACACAAGGGTTAGCATTCGCTGTTTGGGGAATGATAATGGTAGTTGGTTATGATTTTTTAAAGCGCTCCTATCTTAGAGCTGCACCTTGAAATATTTATAAATGAGCTAGCATAAGGTGTGGGCTCTGTTTTAGATTAACCTAGCCAGAGGCCGAGCCCGTGGGAGTGTGGGACAAGCACAGTTTGGCGAGGAGCTGGCCTTTGTAAGAAGCAACGATGGGACACTGGGTCTGTTTCACCGTTGCTGTACTTTTGAAGAGGTTTAAAATCTTCCATAAGACACAGAAAAACAAGAAATAGAAGGCAGTCACAGTGCAAACACTGGAACCCCAGTACTTGGGGGGGTAGGGGCAAGCCTCAGCTACACTGCAACTTTGAGGCTATCTCGGCTATATCAGACCCTGTCTAAAAACAAACAAACAAACAAACAAAAACAAACAAACAGCCTAGCATTGTAAGTGAGAATTTCTATGACTAAATACTGAATAAATAATATGTCAATTATATGTAATATGATGGCATGTATCAAATAAGCTTGCATACAATTAAAGAACTCAAGAGGGGACAAAATACACAAAACTCAAAGTAGCTGCATTCGGTAATAAGCCTATGAGTGATTTCCTTTTCCAGATATTTCTTTGTCACAGGGACGCCATCTTTTCAAAATAGAGGAGGGATAACTTTTAGCTTAAATTAATTCCTGTGCTATCCTTCTGGAACCTTGGTAGGGAACCCAGTCCTTTCAATTAAGTGACCAGAGGCTACTCTGTCCCCAGGCAGGATGCTGCCCCTGGGCTGGAATCGGATACAGGTGGATGGACAGTGGGGTGGCCATGAGTGATCTCCATGGCTACTGGAGTCTCCCTACCCACTCTCTCTGTTTCTGTCTCCAGGGTTTCACATACTCCAGGGTGGCTTCACACTCACCATGTAGCTAACACTGATCTTGGTCCTCCTGCCACTTCCTGAGTACCAAGATAACAGGTGCGAACCACCACACCTGCTTTATGAACAATGGCGGGGATCGAACCCGGGGCTTTACACATGCTGGGCAAGCACCCTACCCACTGAGCCACACCCCCAGTCCTGCTTTCATTTTCCAGTCTCAAATCTTCCCACCTCTTGTGGGGAACGACGACAGCCAACCCTGTCCCCCAGCGTCCCACACAAAGCAAGTAAATTCGGTCATACATCACCTTTCAATCTGGGACAGGAATTTGGTTTCAAAGATACCCCTGGTCCGGAGTCGCTCTGAAATCTGCCCTCGGAAGAGGAGCCCCTGCCGGGTGAGGTCGATCAGGATCCGCCTCACGATCTCTCCCAGGTACATCCCACTGGTCATTTTCTCGTATCTGTTTGGGGAAGAGGATATAAGACCGGTGAGGGTAGAAAAGTGCTCTCTGAGGGTGCCACTGGCACCTGACAGTCATGGTTCACAGTGACCTCGGAGGCTCTCTCTACAGTGGTCAAAGAAACAAAACACAGGGAACAGGGTAAAGTGAGAGAGGTAGGCCTCAGAGCCACCTGGGAGCCAAGCCCCACTTCCTGTATCCCATCACGTGGCATGAGCCCATACTGTAAGCATCACCTGTAAACTGAGAGCAAAGCAGGATTCTAAGGACTCCAGGAGGCAGGGCCACCCCTCGCCTGGCCCCAGCATCAATGCTCTCTCGGCCTCAGGCTACTCGCCTGAGCCGGTAAGCGTCTCTTCCGCTTGGGTTTTGGCTTTGCCTTAGACACCAGGACATCAACTTTGCCTTTGAAGACATCAGTCCACCAGCGATCATAACAAGCTACTAACACTCAAGAGGTGCTAAAAAAAAAAATTTAATCCTTTTCCCCTTTCCACAGTGCTCCATAAGGATATGCAGCAAGAAAGGAAGGGGCTTAGGAAGCAGCCAGCGCTGGGAAGGCTCAGTGCACAGGAGTGTGCAATCCCACTGCCGCTGTGCTGTGCTGGGGAGCTGGACTCCAGCCAGCCTCTGAGGTGAATGGAAATACAAGTTCACTGTCATCTAAATGCTGGCCTCACACCACAGCTGTGCAAGGAATCAGTAGGAAAACACTGACAGACAGCATTACGGAAGGTGTCCAAACTCAGGACCAATGGTGCCTATACCAACACATGTGCTGGCCTCCTGGCCTGTCTCAGCTCTGCTCAGAAGGCCCTTCCCCTAAACCTCTCCAGCCCATGGACTTCCCTCTCCCCAGCTTTTCATCTCAAATAACCCGGCCATTTTGGCCACGCACTCTCTTGGTCCTCTGCTCCTGGCTCTCAGTCCCCCCTCTTGGCCCTCGTCTTTGTTCTCTCTTCTCTTCCCCTGTCGCTCTCCTCTCTTTCCTCTCCTCTCATGGCCCAGCTCACTCTGCTGGCCATGTTTAGTCTATTACTTTTTTTCTCTGCTCTGGACTCTTCCAGATGTTTCTGGTTGTTCTCCCCTCATAGCTACGATACAAACCTCGCCCCAGTCCCTTGGAGCCAGCGTGTTCTCATTTCATTCAAAATTCCAGTCCCGCTCCATTCAACTCTCAGTCCAGAAATACAAGCCACGGCCACAGCAGATAGACGCAGAACTAAGACTGGGAACTTCCCAGGAGGAGACTGGAAGCACTCAACTGGCAGTCAGAGATAAGGTGGTCAAGCCCTTCCTAATGCAGGAATGAGAACGGAGCCCAGGCCTTGTGCACACGACTCCAGAATTCTCGACTGAGCCCAGCCTGAGGTCCTTTGATTTAGAACAGCGGGCTCACCTGGGTTACAACAGTGCCCCTGCCAGCCAGGAAGGAAGATCGCCAAAGAGGGCGAGGGACCACCAGTACCCATCCGGTCCTTGTCCCAGCTCAGCAGTCCTCAGCGTGTCCTTGAGCCGGGTCTTAGCACATTTCTGAAGTGCTCAACCTCCACCTACTTATCTGCCATCGTGACAAATCTCCAATTTCCCCCGGTTTATATATTATAAACCCAGCTTAATTGGGATACGTCTCACACAATCTAAAACACACTCTGGCCATTTGCAGACCACTTTCCTAACCCTGTTCCAGGAGAAGGGCCCAGACTCACTACTGGGATCTCACACACTAGCTTCACCTCAATCTGGGCCTCTCTTCCAGGGTGTGTCAGAATGCAGCTGGAAATCTACCCGGGAAGGAGTCTGGAAGCCGTTCATTATATTCTGTCTTTTCAGTAGTTGGTAATTGCAGCGTGCCTCACAAAGGCTTGTGGCCCATGATAAGATGTGATACTATGTTGATGCCTTCACATCCATCCTGGGGACGGCTTTCCCACCCCTTAGAATTCATTGACCTTAAAAGGCCAAAGACCTTGGACCTCTAAATGAGACTCAGTAAAGCCCGTGTTATGGCTGCTAGGTCACCACACCCCGGCTCTGTAGTACACGGTCAGTCTGCAAGCAGTCATTCTGACAGCTTCTGGCTGGCTTCCACAGCCCACGAGTCTTCAAAGTACCTTATGATAATTAGAAAAGGGACCCCTCCCTCTCCTGTCGGCAACATCAAGGTGACCTTCTTTTATTCCCTGTTCTGGTATCTGGTAAAGACGTACAATAAGCATGGACAAAGCTATCAGGTTGATGCCACCAGAACAGACCTGCTCCCTGGGTTTGGCAAGGCTTCTGCTGGGGCATGGTTTGTGCACTCTATTCAGATGCTGATTGCTGTGCACAGAGACCTGGTGGCAGTCCTGACTTTGGGTCGGCCTGTTATTTGGAGCATCTCCTGTCTCAGTGATGTGTAAAAATTCTTATCCACCACCCCTGATTGATTAATAAAGAACTTATTCAGCCTGTAGCTGGGTAGGAGAGCACAGGGCGGGACTTCTGACCCCAGTCAGGGGGTTCCAAGCAAAAAGAGAAGAGTGGAGGAGGAGGAGGAAGAGGAGGAAGAGGAGGAGAAAGAGGAGGAAGAGGAGGAGAAAAGAGAGCAGGAGGATTTGCCATGAGGTCTCGCTGATAGAGCATCCATGAGGAGGAAGAAGAGAAGGAGATGGACCAGGAGGATCGCCATGAGATCATCATGTGAGTCGTCATGAGGACACACATGGAACAGAGCGAGCCAGGGAAGACTCAGAGTGCAGGTGAAGGACCATGAGGGTGGGACGTAAGCAGCCAATGAGGGCTAGAATAGATGAGCATCTGCCCACATGCAGCTTGTTAAAACACTGATTAGGTCTCCCTCCATGGCATTTATTTGGGAGCTGAAGGGGGATGAAGCAGGTGTAGAAACGTCCCAGTGTTACTTGGAAGGAAGGGGGTTGAAGAAAAGCCCACGGGATCACATCTACATGTAATCCCTTCACACATGACACACACACCTCACAGGATCACACCTACATGTAATCCCTTCACACACGACACACACACCTCACAGGATCATACCTACATGTAATCCCTTCACACATGACACACACACCTCACAGGATCACACCTACATGTAATCCCTTCACACATGACACATACACATCAAAGGATCACATCTACATGTAATCCCTTCACACATGACACATATACATCACAGGATCGCACCTACATGTAATCCCTTCACACATGACACACACACCTCACAGGATCATACCTACATGTAATCCCTTCACACATGATGCATACACATCCCACATGATTACACCTACATGTAATCCCTTCACACATGACACACACACACATCCCACGGAATCACACCTACATGTAATCCCTTCACACATGACACACACCCCACATGATCACACCTACATGTAATCCCTTCACACATGACACACACACACCCATGGGATCATACCTACATGCTTCCTTCACAAATGGCACACACCCCACCTGGCCTCCTCACCTCTGCTTGCCGGCGTTCAGGGAGCCCTCATCCACCTCCTTGTCATACTGGGTGCGGAGGTCATCGATGCAGCCATTGTCGCCAAACCCGCCCCACTCGGTGTTGACGCACATCCGGCCTTCGTCCCCGTCCACCAGCTCTATGTTCCTCATTTCCTCCATATAGCACACGTTGCTTCCTGTCCCTGGAAGGAATCATGAAGGGACTTCAGTCCTCAAAGATAACTCTAAGAGAGGCTCATGAATGCCATAAGTAAGTTGGTGTCTGAGGTCTGAGACAGAGCTTGGATGGGATTCCTGCTTTATATTCAGCTGGCCAGTCTTGAACAAGTGCCCTATGGAGTTGTTAAAAAGAAAAAAAGAAGGCGACACCTGTGTGTTCTGTTAAGTAGCCAGTGAATGAGTCTTGCTATCCTCAGCAGCAGCAGCAGCATCTCCATCATCATCATCCCCATCTTCCCACTCACCCCCATCAAACCCATTGTGGCCAGAGTCATCATCGCCATCACTATAATCAGCAGCAGCATCTCCATCCTTCCCAGCATCAGCATCCCCAGCATCAGCATCCCCCACAGCAGGAGCATCATCATCCTCACTGCCTTTATCATCATGCGCATCTTACCCATCATCTTCAGTATCCTCGTTATCATCCCTATCCTCATCACCACCAAGGTCATCGCCATCCTCATCACGTCTATCATCATCATCCCCAGCAGCAGCAGCAGCAGAGCCAGAGTCAGAACCCAGCTCCGCTGCCCCAGGCCACCATGCCCAACAGTGGCCTCCTTCCTTCCTCAACACCTGGCCCCCAACCGTAAGGTGGAAGAAGGGAGTGTAAGCAAGGGGAGGCACAGTAATGGAAGACGACCATTAATTACAACACATTATATGCTGTCGGGAAACCCTGCTACTGACATTACCGAACAGCCTTGAGCTCAGTGCAAAATGGCGGACCCCTATGTCAGCAGGGCTTCCTCTTCTTCTTCCGGGGGATCCCGGAGCCCACACAGACTACCTAAGGAATGTCACGTAGTCCTGTACCTGAGACTCCTAGAATGTCTCCCCATGCTAATGAGGCATCTCAGTACCTTAGCTTTCAGCCAATGACCTTTGTCTAGCCTGGAGATTCTCACCTCTTTCCCCAAAACTGTATAGCCCTTGGTTCACCCCCGTATAAAGCATATATGCACAAGCTGTTTCTTTGAATACTGTCTGAGAGAGTTGAACATTGAACATATGTGACACTGAAATCTCCAGAGGAAACCCCCTCCCTCCCCAGCATTCCCTGCTAGGCCCAGGTCCTGCTGACCCAAGTGTTTCAGACTTGGCTTCATCCTTTCCTGCCTGGTGTGTACCAGAGCCCAGACACACCAAGGGAAGATGTGGACCTCAGAACTCAGTTCTGTTCAAGCCTTCCCTGTTTGGTGCCTGGACACCACAGGTAAGAAGTAGAAAACAGGAACCACAATATACATCTGTGGAAATGTCCAAAACATAAAGGGAAAAAAATGAAGAAAAGGAAAACTCCTTCTTAGTATATCTTTCCCTTCCTCAGAAGAGAAGGGCCTTGCCTCACAGCCTTGGTGAGAAGGAACCTGGGAATGAATTGCCGACCTAGGTCCCCAGACTGAATCACATCCTGGCAACAGAGTGGCAACCCCAGGAGAGTCCAAGTGGACCAGGCCACTGTCTGGGACACCATGCCTGACCACGTACCTGCAATCAAGCCAATCTCACACCTGGGATCCTCATAGCCACAGGTCATCATGGTCCCCACCGTGTCATTCACGATTGCAACTATGTCCAGGTCAAACTCCTGCAAAGGAAGCAAGTCACTGTCCTGAAACAGAATGTGGGAGGGGCATCTCGGCGCAAGGCAGACCAAGGCCTGTGGCCCGTGGCCCGGGCATATCATGGCAGGGCAGGGGAAGAGGACAGGTCCAACCCGAGCCTCCCAATCATAGCCTACATTTCTCCTCTTGATGGCTTCTCTGAGCATGTCCACCACATCCTCTCCTTCACAGTCGGTGGCCTTGAAGCCTTTGGTCCACCCTACTAGAGTCCCCTGAAACAAAGAAGGGGAATACTTCACTTGGGCAGCCATTCTTGGAATGACAGAGCACCTCAGACCCAACAGTCACGAGGTTTAGAATCTGGTCACTGGTAGAACATGTATGTTTTTGGCTTGCTTCTACCTTCACTATCCTAACATGGCCCTTGCCAAAAGGGCTCCCTGCAGCTCTGCAAGGTCTTTAAGACTCAGGTGTGTTCCTGTCGCTGCTACACAGAATCAGAGTCTGGGGTCAGAGCATCCCACTGTCAATGACAGCCCATGACAGACGGAGGTGTTCTCAAGAGTTGAATTAGAAAACGTCAGACTCAGCACCGCTACACAGTGTAACAAGCTACCCAGCCCCTCCACCCCAGCAGTATTGAGAAGACATATTGTCTTATTCATCATTATCAATGCTATTACAAACCAGAACCACCACACCATCAAGAAACATGGAGCATTGGAAAACTGTATTCATCACACGGTTTTTTTGTTTGTTTGTTTTTTTAAATGAAAGTGATTAACACACAGGTAAAGAAGAAACCCACTTCTCTTTTTTTGTTTTGTTTTGGTTTTTGGTTTTTTGGTTTTTCAAGACAGGGTTTCTCTGTATAGCCTTGGATGTCCTGGAACTCATTCTGTAGACCAGCCTGGCCTCTAACTCAGAGATATTCATCTGCCTTTGCCTCCCAAATACTGGGATTAAAGGTGTATGCCACCACTGCCAGGCTTAGTCTATTTACTCCTTTTTTTGGGTAAGATTTATTTATTTATTTATTTATTTATTTAATGTATGTGAGTACACTGTAGCTGTCTTCAGACACGCCAGAAGAGGGCATCAGATCCCATTACAGATGGTTGTGAGCCATCATGTGGTTGCTAGGAATTGAACTTGGGATCTCCGGAAGAGCAGTCAGTGAACCATCTCTCTAGCCCGTCTGTTTACTCTTTTTTTTTTCTTTTTTTTTTTTTTTTGGTTTGGTTTTTCGAGACAGGGTTTCTCTATGTAGCCCTGGCTGTCCTGGAACTCACTCTGTAGACCAGGCTAGCCTCGAACTCTCGAACTTAGAAATCCGCCTGCCTCTGCCTCCCAAGTGCTGGGATTAAAGGCGTGCGCCACCACTGCCTGGCTGAATTATTTATTTTTTAAGCCGGTGTGTTTGTGTGTGTGCATGCATATGCACATACACACTCATGCATGGGCACATCTGCATGCGCCTGTCTGAGTTTATGTCCACCACGTGTGTGCATGCGTCAGTTTCAGAAGAGGGGGGGTCACATGCCCCGGGACTGGAATTCCAGATGAATGTGAGCCACCAGGCTGGGAACTGAACCTGAGTCCTTTGCAGGAATGGTAAATGCTATGAACTGCAGACTCAGCTCAGCAGCCCCTAGCATCATTTATAAAAACCCAGGAGACCAAACCACAGACAGGTTAAAGAATGCACCCAAGGTCACACAATCAATAAATGAGAAGCCTGATAATTTGCATCAAGGTCTGTGGTTGTTTGGTTCATCCCTCAACCCCAAGCAAAGCTCATGAAGAGCACACAGCAGTATCTGGCACAGAAGTAGCACTGTGGATGCTGTGGGGTACCCAACTTCCTCCTCCTCCTCCTCCTCCTCCTCCTCCTCTTCCTCCTCCTCCTCTTCCTCCTCTTCTTCCTCTTCCTCCTCTTCCTCCTTCTCCTCCTTTTCCTCCTCTTCCTCTTCTTCTTCCTCCTCCTCCTCTTCCTCTTCTTCCTCCTCCTCTTCCTCCTCCTCCTTCTCTTCTTCCTCCCTTTCCTCTTCCTCTTCCTCCTCCTCCTCATCATCATCATCGTCATCACTAGTGAAGGGCAGGATACCATGTAACCCAGGCTGGCACTGAACTCCCTACACAGCCAAAGGTGGCCTTCAACTCTTGATCCTCCTGCCTCCATCTCTCAAATGCTGGTGTGTTACAAGCATGTGCCACCAGGACAGTTTGAGAAACACATGTCTTAGGTTACATGTATGAGTTTTCTTTCCTCAATAAAAACCCTACAACTTCAGCATCTCCCTGATCACATGTACTGTTCGGAGCACAGAAAAATATTGCCCTGTTCTAATTAGCCTTCGCTGGCCATTACCTTCTCAAACCTCTCCATAAAATGATTGTACCCCTCTTTTCTAATAGTGCCACATGTGTCCCTTTGTGGATACTAGGCTACATCTGAGAGGGCCACTCCCTAAATCCAACCAACTGTGGATGGGTTGGGGAGATGGCTCAGCAGTTAGGAGCACTGGCTGCTCTTACAGAGGACCCAGGTTCAGTTCTCAGTACCAACATGGAGGCTCATAACTACCTTACAGTCCAGTTCCGGGGGATCTGATGTCTTCCCCTGGCCTCCACAGGCACTACACACACGTGTGCCAGATGAAAATGCAGAGACTCAAAAATGAGCAAACAAAAATAATTAAAAAGTATTCAGAAAAAGAACCGGCAGCTGTCCTGATGTCCCAGGCCCCCCTTAGCATCCTTTCCTGACGTCCAGCTTGGCATTTACACTGTGGGAAGTGATCTAGAGGTGGCTTCCGGTATTCAGGAGGATGTGCACAGGGTCTGTGCCGATACTATGTCATCCTGTAGAATGAACTTGAGCAACATGGATTGTGGTACCCGTGGGAGCCCTGCATCCAATCCTCTGAAGATACCGAGGAATTAACTCTTCGAGAATTTCAAAATAAGGAGAAATCAAATTTGGTAAACAGAAAACCCTTTACATGGTTAAGTCCCTCTACACCACCTATTCCCAGGTGTGTGAACAGTGGCCTGGTGGAGTGGCTCAGTCAGTAAAGGGCTCGCCTAGTGTACATCCTATGCTGGGTCCGATCCTCAGCACGACATGTGCTGGGCACGGTGGTGCAGGCCTGCTACCCCAGGACATAGAAGGTGGAAGGAGGAAGACCAGAAACTCATGGTGATCCTTGGCTACATCAGGAATTTGAGGCCTGTCTGGGATACAGGAGACCCTGTCTCAGAAACAAAACCCAATGTGAGCACAGACACAGAGGAACCTTGAAATCGCCCCGGGGGAGAGCAGCCTCCGGGCAAGAGCAGCCTCCGGGCAGGGTGTGGGGCCGGCTTACCTTGTCGATGCATGTTTGTCTGCAGGGGAAGGAGAAGGTGAAGCCCAAAGGCAGTTGGGCGCCCTTGAGGCCCATATAGTCCAGGAAGTCAGCGATGCACTGTACAATGTGGTCAAAGAGCTGCAGGAGAAAGAGAGAGAGGGGGGGGGGGGAGGCGTTCATTTGAGGTGTGCACGGATGCGAGGTATGCACCGACGGGGGTGGGGCAGCCGGCACTCCGCCCAAACGCTCACCTCCTCGCCAGTGCCCTGCATGATCTCCAGAGGGATGGCGAAGATCTTGTTGTACATTCGCACTGACCTCCGTCTGATCTTCACCAGGAGGACTCGGAAGTTAGTCCCCCCCAAATCCAGGGCAAGGAACTTTCCTTTCTCTGTGGGAGAGAGAGTGGAGGCTTCATCCCACCCACCCATGCTGAGCAGGGACCCCTGGGCACTTGGAGGAAGAACAGAGGAACAAGCCCAGAAGAAGGGCACCTCTGCTCTGGCCTCCTAGACCGAAGAAGCTTCAGGTCCGGGCAAGTACCTTGAACCTGTCTTAGGCCAGAGCACTTTTCTTAGCACTCATTTCCCTAAGACCCAAGCCCCGCCCATTGTTTCTGAGAAACAGCTTTCATCCTGGGCCTCCTTCCATGTCTACAGAGGGAGGAAGATGAGCCTTCAAGGTTCTTCCAGTTCTAAATGTTACTGGCCAGTGGGTCCTAAGTTTCTGGATAGGACATAATACACAGAACCTGACACTCAGGAGCCTTAAACAGGGAATTCTGGCTAGCTAACCTGAGTGCAGCAGACTCTGGAAAGCATCTCCATCCTGTTGAAACTGTTCAGGGGAATCTTTCACCACAAGCGTGAGCCTGCTCTTCTATCGTGTGCACACATGTGCGTGATGTGGGGAGGACACACACACCATGGCACATAGTTGGAGGTCAGAGGACAACTCTGTGGAGTTGGTTCTCTCCTTCCATCTCCACACGTGATCCTGGGGTGGAGCTTGGGTTGCTAGGCTTACACGGGAAGTAGCCTTATATTTTGAGGCACCTGGTTGGCCCACAGTATAAGCCAATTCCTGTTCCCTCTTCCCTGGTCCCCATGTCCTCTGCCTGGGAAAGCATCTCCAGCCCTGCGTCATGGGACTGTGCAGGTCCCTAACTGCAGGGCCTCCCTCCCTACCCCTGCCCCTCAGCATCAGAGCCTGGTCTACACAGAATCTCTCATTGTCCTCCATTCACCCACTCCCTTCTGACCAGACTGCTCTTTCTGTTTCTCAGAATTGCCAAAGACATCATTCCAGCCATCTCTGGTTTTCTTTCTAGTGCCTGTCCTTTCCTGGTATCGTGTGTTATTTACACTTTTAACGTTTGCCCACCTGTCTAAGCTCCATTCAGAAGCACAGAGACTCTGCTCTATTGCCGGGCCTAGAACAGAGCCCAACAAGCAGCTGCTGCCTCAGGGAGATTTGAGGAACACAAAGAAGGAGGAGGAGGAGGAGGAGGAGGAGGAAGAGGAGGAGGAGGAGGAGGAGGAGGAAGAGGAGGAGAAGGAGGAGAAGGAGAAGGAGAAGAAGAAGAAAGGAAGAAAGAAGGAGGAGGTAGAAGAAGAGGAGGAAGAGAAGGAGGAAGAAGAAGGAAGAGGAGGAGGAGTCATGACTGAAACAGTGAGGAGCAAGGCCAAAACCCAAACCCCAGAAGGGTGCCAGCCAGAGGGAGCCCTGAAGGCCCACAGTGTTCAGAGGGAGGGTCGGGGAAGCATAGGGACGTCTACTGGCTCACAGCAGGAGGTCTGTTTCTATTATTATTATTACCCACAGCAAGAAAACACACATATACACACATTCACACAGACTTACACACACAGACATACATATACAGACATACACACAGAGACATACAAACACACACAGGCACATACATACACATATACACACATACACATACAGATGCATATACTCATACACACACAGAGAGACACATACACAACACAAGCATATACACACAGACACACATATACAACACACACAGAGACACACACATACACGCAAGCATATACACATACATAGACAGACACACACAAACACAGACAAAACATACATATATACATAGAGATACGCAAGGACACACACAGAGATATATACACTCATATACACACACATATACAAACATACACACACAGCGACATACAAACACATACACTCATACATACAGACACATACATATATATTCATATACACAGACACATACACTCATGCACACAGAGTCACACAGAGAGGTCACACAGAGAGACATATACACATACACACATACACATTCGCACACAGACACATACAGACAGACATATATACACACATACAGAGACACATATAATCATATGCACACACACACATTCAGCCATATGCACAGAGAAACACAGAGAGACACATATACACATACACTCAGACACATACATATACACACACAAATAGACACACACATAGACACACACATATATACTCATATACACATACACACACACAGATACAGAGACCTGCGCACAGTTGAACCAAGTCATGCAGACTCTTCCATCTGCCCTCTCCCATCATCCAAGGCTCTAACAGCCTCTGCATTTGCACAGTGTAGGCAGGAGCCCTGCACACCCCTATAGAGCAGGTGCCTGTACCAACCCACCAACCCACCTGTGCCGTCAGGCATTCCATAGACATAGGTGGGAAGCATCTTCACGGTAGCCAGAGCGTGGGTCTTTTTCTTCAGCCCGTACTCTAGTTCAGTCCGCATCTTGTCCCGCACACCCCGGAGTTGCTCTGGGGTCAACTGGAACAAAGCCAGCACCTTGTCGATCTGCTTGCGCTGGGCCTGCACCCGAGAGGCCACTGCAGTCACCATGGCGGCCCCCTTGGTGCTTCCGCTCTCTGACAGGAGGAAGCGGACATCACAGCTTGGGACCAGTCTCCTCACCACCTTGTGTAGGCGTTTGGGGTACCTGGAGGTAGAGGAGGCAGTCAAATAGAGTGCAGTCTTTTCAGCTACACCTGGCCAGTGGGAATGGACACAGGGCTAGTGGGTGATAGGTCCCGGGGGGGCCTGCTTGTTGGATGGTGTGTGGATGGACTAGGACAGCCGAAAGGACACTTTGGAAGCTAAGGGAAGTGCTGATGTTTCAGCCCAGAGGGCATGAATGAACAATGTGATAATTGAAGCCACCTCTGTCCATGGGGAAGGATTTGCTCAATCAGGCCCTTCTAGGGTGTACACGCCTGGCTTCCAGTGCCGCCTCTGTTAGCTAACGAGTCTTTCTCTCTGAACCCCCCCGTGGGATTTTCATTTCCCTATGTCGTCCTAGCAGGATCTGGCGACATCTGCCATCACTGAGTTTTCCCCATCAATGGTGGGTATCTCTGACTTTTCAGTATTGCTATGTCCTGGGGATTACCTAGAGAGTGGAGAGAAAGATGGCTAGAAAGAGGACAGACGGAAAGGTAGGAAGACACATAGATACACAGATAGGCAGACAGACGGGGAGATGGACACACAAGATGAATGAATGAACACAGAAATCCATGCATAAATAGACAGATAGATAGATAGATAGATAGATAGATAGATAGATAGATAGATAGATAGGTAGGTAGATAGATAGGTAGGTAGATAGATAGAGAGATAGATACGGGGTCTTTCTAATTAGGTAATAGCTTTAACAGACTTTTTTTGAGATAGGCCTTGCTGCATAGCCCCCTCAGGTTTGCTTTCTTCCTGTCTCCTTACAGTGGAAATCTCCATTGCTCCGCCCTCATCCACAGTAGAGATACTGCTGCTGCCCGATTGGCCCCTCTGAGTTCTGTAATTACTGGTCTGCACCAGCACATCCAGCTACCCGCCTGTCTCTCTACAAGTGACTCCCCAAAGCACCTGGCTAACTGTGTAAATGCAGATTTTGCTCAGTCTTCCCTTGAAATCTTAGAACTAGTAAGGGGGAGCTGATTCCAACTGCACAGATATGTAACATAGACCTGAGGGAGCACTGGGGCTCAGCTCCAGGGGCGACTGAGCGCCGGGATACAGGTTGGTGGGTGGCACTTACTGAGGGTGTGTTTTGTAGAGGGTTCCGTCCATGCCCACTGTGGTGCGGAGCCGGGCCAGCTTCTTGTTCTCTCGGAGGCGAGTCAGGATGCCGGCCAGAGCGGCCGCGCAGAGATTGGCCGAGCGGAAAGAGACGATGGTGCATACGTGCTGGACGGCGATGCAGTCTGACTCAGAGGGGTCCAGGCCCAAATCCACCAGGATCTCTCTCGTGTTAGCCAGGCCTTCTTTACTCCTAGCCAGGGGACAAGAATGAGAGGCCCACACTTCCCCATGCTGTGGGTGTCCTCCTGGGACGTGTGCTCTCGGGATGGTGTGCACCGTCTCATGAGCACACAGTATAGCCAAAGACAGCATCAGCAGTGAATAGAGCTGCTACCATGTACCACTTCACGCCAGGTACCTGCTAAGGCTCTGGCACGCAAGTCAACTCATCCGATGGTCACAGGAACCCGGAGGGAAGGACTTCTTAGAAGAGGGTGCAGGTGAGAGGGCTGAGACAGGGGGTGAGTGGCTTTTCTCTGCTCACAAAGCTCCTTGTCCTGGAGCCGCAGCCTGGACTCTGGCAGTTAAATTTCAGAGCCCACATTTTTAAGCACCCCACCTTCTACTGCCACTCAGGGTTCATCCCTGCCAAGCTCTGGGCAGATGTGAACTCTACACGTTAGACTGACTGCAGGGCTCAGGGTAGGGCTGGGGGTTCCATGCCCGAGGAGCAGGTTTCTGACCTGATTGAGCTAAGCTCCTTCATCATGCCATTGCGGGGCTTTGAGTGTAAAAACTCAAGTCAGCAGATTTGAAGGCAGCCATGTTGGGAGCCCATAGAAAAGACTCAGGTTTTTACAGCAGGGCTTAGGAACTCTGCACCATACAGGATACACGGGTGCCACCATATCATAAGCAAAACTATACGCAAATGTGCAATTTGGGGTAAGTATCCAGGACTTGACTTGAATTTCTCAAGGGATCTGTGACACTCACACACACACACCCAAATTATTACTAGTCAGCATTCAAGGGAAGAAGAAGGCAGGAAATCATGGCAAGTAGGTGGCTTTCTGCCAGTGCAGTCCCTGGCTAGTGACCCACAAGGGTGTGACACTGAGCCACATCAGAGACTTCTAGTTGTCTGAAGCCAAGCCCAGGACTGAAACCCCCTGCGAGGGAGGAAGTCTGGTCCCCACTGTTGTTCCATCACCTGAGTACATGGCACTGTGGCCACCAACCCCAGCCCTCTGCAGAGTCAGGGCAGCAGGGGATGCCCCAGCCCTCCACAGAGGCGGGAAGGAGGGACACCCCAGCCCTCCGCAGAGTCGGGCAGCAGGGGATGCCCCAGTCCTCCACAGAGGTGGGAAGGAGGGACACCCCATCCCTCCACAGAGGCAGGAAGGAGGGGGACACCCAAGCCCTCTACAGAGGCGGGAAGGAGGGACAGCCCAGCAGCTTACATTTCCATGGCAGCGACGTGCTGCGTTTCGATCTTGCCCTTCGTATGGAGAGCGGAAGATTTTGCACCCCCAAACAGGAGACCGACTTTGGCCATCTTCAGCAAGATGAGTCTGACCAGCTCCCCCATGTACAGCCCGCTGATCATCTTCTCGAACCTGCGATGGGATGAACGGGTCAGTGCGAGCGACCCCTCAGACTAAACAGCGTGGGCTCCCAAGCGCCATTGCGTGGGGGAGCCATTCCTACTTTGACTGTGAGGAACCACAGTGCTTCAGATTTCTATTTTCCTAAGTTCACTCGACCATCACGTGACATCAGAGCAAAGATCCGGGTGGTTCTAACCCCCCCACATTGAGGTTCTGTCTCAGAGAACCTGGTGCTAAGATTTCAGTCCGGAATGTCCACTGAAGGCCGATTTGTAAAAGGCCTGCTACTTAGCCTATATTCGGGAGGTGGTGGCACCTCACCCACCATTAGGGACATATTCCTGAAGAAGAAAGTGGGACCCTAGCCCTCTCTCTGTGTCACACCCAGTCATGAGGTAAATGGTTTCCTCCCCCACATATATCCACTATAACATGTTCCCTGGCCACGGGCCCAAAAGCAGTGAAGCCAGCTGGTCATAAGGCTATAATCCAGATGTCACGCTTCTGCTCTTGGAGTAGGTAGGTGAGGAACTTCCCAAACTGTGAGCCAGGTGAACCTTTACAAGCTGACTAGCTTAGACATCTGTTGTAGTAACGGAAGGCTGATATGAAGCTTGGAGAATCCAGAGAAGGCCCACCATGACACAGATGGAAGACCTCAGGAGGTGGCCCTTCCCTCTAAGCCTCTACATTGGACTGTTTCCTGGGCTGAACAATAATACAACTGTTAGTCTTCAAATATAGAAAGATGCAATTTCCAGAACTATTTGTTCTAACCAGACTTATATATTGCAATATAAAAACTCTTAGACCATTGGGTCTGGAGAGATGGCTCAGTGGTTAAGAGCATGTGTTGCTCTTCCAAAGGACCTGAATTCAGTTCCCAGCACCGACATCAGATAGCTCACAAGCACCTGTAACTCCAGCTCCAGGGAGAGGGCCGGTCCAATGCCATCTTCTGGCCTCTGTGGGCACCTGCATTTACCCCTGCACGTGTGCATGTGTACACATGTTGTACATATATACACACACAAATAAAAACTAATTTTTTTCAAAAATAATCATCTTAAACATTGAAGACACAGAAGGCAAGCAAATGAAATTCAGGTTGGATTCAAGTGGGAATTCTTCGGAGTGAAGCAGAGATAAACGGAAACCATAGTCCAATGAGCATCGCTGCCTTGGCTTGTAACGGCTCATAGTGACAGGGAAGGAACTATGTGCGGGTATCGGGCCCAGCCAGAGAAAACGCGATGAACTGTAAAGGGTGCGGAAGGCACAACATGTAGAAAGGACAGCAAAGCCAGCTGTGTCGTGAGCCTGGAGGAACCTCAGCACGAGGCAAAGAGCAGCAGCAGGCGCCAGAGCAGCTGGTCTGCAGGCCATTGGCTGAAGCTCTAGAGGGGCGTGGCCAAACAGCAGACATGGTGGCTGTTGTGACGAGGCCCTTGAGGATGTCGGGTGGCTGGGAAGCCCCAAGGAAGCATACACAGGAAGCCCTGGGCAGAGTCCTGCGATTTCTGTGCCTGGCTTTCCTCAGTGCACACTCACCTACATACTCCAAGACAGAAGCATGGCATTTGGTTCTCAGCCTTATCGGTAGAGCCTTGGATGCGCATACATACCCCAGAACTATGGACTGCATAAGAATTGTGGTTAGGATCTAGGGGGACTGACTCGCTGTGGGGACTGACCTTCTGGGGTACAGAGAGAGCCTGAGTGAGCAGGGACTGCCAGGTGCTGATACCCGGATGCTAACAAAGGAGCACTCACAGCTGCTTTCCGGGGTTGAGTGAGCCCAGGTCCAGCTCTCTGTCAAACTCGGTGCGGATGTCCTCCAAAGCCCCGTCGTCCCCGAAGGCCCCCCACTCCGTGTTGATACACATCCTTCCCTCGTCCCCTTCCACAAGATCGATGTTACTCATGTCCTCCATGTAGCATGCGTTGGTGCCTGTTCCTGGAGAGCGGACCAGAGACAGACAGATGGGACAACAGCAGGTGATGCCGTGATTGGCACGTGCCTGTCTCAGTGTGAAGTGGGGGTCCTGGAAACGTTAGGAGCTTAAAGCGGTTCAAGTGGTCAAACCCCCACACCCACTCAGCTTAGGAAAACCAGGCCAAGGAACCCCTTTTAGAAAATCAGAAAGTGCCCCTGGCAGAGGAATGGGAGGCAGAGACATCGCTATCTGAGTGCAGTGTAGGAGCCAGGAATGGTGGCATACACTGGCATGCACCAACCCCCCAACACACACACACACACACCCTGTTAATCCAGCCAGCAGGATGGTGAGTTCAAGGCCAGCCAGCCTGGTCTACAGATAAAACCCTGTCTCAAAAATATTACTTGAATATATTATGCCCCCAGCTGCCTTCTCACAGGCTCCCCCTAGCTGCTGGATACTGCGGCCCCTAACTTTCGTGTCTCAGGCCCTGTTTGCACCTCTGCCAACAGTTCAGTGGCCTCTGGACAGGTTATATCTACTTCTACCCTTGTCCTGGGAATCAGTCTCAGTTCCAGCCCAAGATGGGAGCATAGTCTTAAACACAGGCTAGCCTGAAACTCACTAAGTAGCCCAGGCTGACATCAAAGTTAAAGCAATCTTCCTGTCTCCAGTCCATGAAGGCCGAGATTACAGACGGGAGCTATTATGTCCAGCTTCCGCTGCACTTCTCAACATACACAGGAGAGTCCAGGGAGGTTCACTGTGAGCCAGCACTGAGCACAGAGCCAGCACAGCATGAAGAGTCGAGAGAGGGAAGGAGGGGGCCGGGGATGGAGATGGGGAGAGACAGAATGGATGGAGGGAGAATGGATAGGGGGTGAAGATGAATGACGAGGGAGGGAGGAGGGAGGGGAAGAGGAAAACAGGAGGATGGATGGATGGATGGATGGATGGATGGATGGAAGATGGAGAGAGGGAGGATGAATGCAAGGGAGGTGTTGTGGTTTTGTCTTTTACTGTTTATTGTACTGCTAAGTGCTGGGCTCCAAGATTTGGATGTAGTCTGCATATAGCCTAAGGAACCCTGCCCCCAGTTAATTCTGATTGGTAAATAAAGATGCCAGTAGCCAATGGCTGGGGAGAAGAGACATGGGCGGGGTTTAGCTTTCCAGGTTAGAGAAGCAAGGTGAGTCACCGCGGTCTAAGGGCCAGGAGAGCGGCCCAGAGGGCTGCCCAATTGGGTTAAGAGCAGCCCAGACGGAACATAGTAAACAGTAAATACTAATGGATGGAAAAGTAGATTCTAACAGCACGGAGGGCAGGCAGTTGCTCAGCTGCTGTGCTGTACAAGGCTTGTTAACATATAAAGATGTGTGTGTCTTTCATCTAGGAACATAAACCATTAAAATGGGAAGGAGCCCCGGGTCAGGATTTATTAAATACTTTTCACAATAGGAGGGGGTGGAGGATGGAGGGAGGATGGAGGGAGGATGGAAGGAGGATGGAGGGAGGATGGAGGGAGGATGGAGGGAGGATGGAGGGAGGATGGAGGGAGGATGGAGGGAGGATGGAGGGAGGATGGAGGGAGGATGGAGGGAGGATGGAGGGAGGATGGAAGGAGGATGGAAGGAGGATGGAAGGAGGATGGAGGGAGGGAGCGTGGATGGACAGAGAGAGGAAGGATAGAGGGAGGAAGGATGGAAGGACCGAGGGAGGGAGGATGGAGGGAAGGAGGACAGAAGGACCGAGGGAGGGAGGATGGAAGGAGGCAGGAGGGATAGACAGAGTAAGGGAGGATGGAGGGAGGGAGGAATGATGGACAGAGGGAGGAAGGGCAGAGAGAGAGAGAGAGAAGGTGATGTAGATGCAGGTTTCTCATCTCTCCGTGTTGTTCTGCAGAAAAGTGGCAGTGCCCTTCATATTTGTTTAGATTTTACTCAAACTCAGCCCCAACCTCGTCCCCCTCCCTCCTCCAAGCCCACTGAGTTACCGATGATAACGCCGACTTCACAGTTGGGATCATCATAAGCACAAGTCATCATGGTCCCCACAGTGTCATTAACCAAGGCCAGGATGTCCACGTCCAGGTCCTGGTGAACAGAAGGCCTCACGGGTCTCAGTGGTGGGAAGCTGTACTCTCCCCACCCCCACCCCCCCAACAGGGAACATCATCACTAGACACTGCCTGCAAGAAACAGACTTTGTGAAGTTTCCGAGTCTAGGGGAGGGGGGAGGGGCTTATGTTTCTGCACTGAGGGAATGGCTTCTGTGGAGGGGACTCTATGGGCAGCCCCTGGCATTTACCCCTCGGGGAGATAATGGAAAACATATCTGTCCTGGGAATAATGGTTATTTCTAAAAGAAAACATGTCATTCCTGGTCCACAGGGCTCTGGGAGGCAGCAAGCATGGGCTTGACCAAAACCCATCTGTCTCACATGGATTTCCTACACTGGCCAGTCATTGTACAATGGTTCCCTCAGAACTGGAGGGCTGTTTTAAAGTGAGAAGAAAGAATTGGACGACGACACATCAAAGTCCTCCTTTGAGGTCAGGGGATCAGAGTTCCATATGGCACACCAGCCCCCATTCTAGAGGCGCACCCACCAGCTCAGCCGAGAACGATAAGAACAGCCCCTCTTCTCATCAGGTGACAAATAGTTTAGCTTTTAAGTGTCTGGGATTCTTTGTCTCTCTCTTACTTTTGCTGCTATATAAATGATTGTAAAATATTGTCAGAAAGCAAGCATAGACAGCTATGAACGGTGTTCTTCGGGCTCTTTGGAATCTGTGTGCTGGTTGGTTAACTAGAAATTGCCCCCAATACACGTGCACGTGATTTCACCACTACACTCCACCCTAAAGAGGAGGCAAGGCGGGGCTTAAACACAGCCCCAGCTCAGGTTAACCTTCCAAGGAAGGCAGGTTGTAACATCTAGGGCCCCAGGCAATAAAATGGTTGTCTGCCTCTTGTGGTTCTCCAGAAGGCCTGTACTCATCTTCACTACAAAGGGGACCCTGCCAAGTTCTCCTTCCAGAAGGATGTACTACAAAGGTCCCCAAGCCAAGGACTAGGAGGCTTCACACCAAGGTGAACCCCTTCTTACCTTGTGCTTTTTCATGGCGGTTGCCAGGCGGCTCACCACGTCTGTGTCCTGAACTCCCCGGGCTTTGAACTTCTTGGTCCATGAAAGCAGGAAGCCCTGTGAGGATGCTTTTGGTCAGTGTACGGAGGGAGGTGTTCAGGCTGCGCTGCAGCAGGCAGACAGCCCTGGCTCTGAGCCCCACGGGCTCTGCTCTCTCTGTTCAATCACTCTGATTCTCTGGGGTTTGATTTTCTTTCTAATTGATGCCTGATAATTGCATGGATTTAAGGGGTATGGAAGACGGGTTCAGTGCGATCCAATCAGGGCAACCTCCACAAACACTACACACGGTTTTCTGTAATGAGACTTATCTAGATTTCAAAAGCAAGACCCAGAAGGCAGAGGCAGAGGCAGATGGATGTCTGTGAGCCAGCCTGATCTACAGAGTGAGTTCCAGGATGGCCAGGGCTACAACACAGAGAAACACTGTCTTGAGAAAACAAAATGAGAGATGTGTAGTTTGTCCTCTGTGCCTGACTTATTTCACTGAGTTTAATATTCCCATATACTCCCACAGATGACAGAATGGCTTCCTTTTGATGGCTGAACAGTATTCCACTGTACAGGGGTGCCCTCCCTTAATCTGTTCATCAGCTGAGAGACATTTGGGTTTATTCCATCTCTTACAAAGAGATTTTCTTTAATGTTGCCTTGGGGGAATATTTTAGAAACAGAAATACCTTTCCTTTCTCTCCCCCCTTCCCTTCTCCGTCTCGCTATGGTCCCGCTCACTCCGGCCCAAAGGTTTTTATTTATTTATTATATGTAAGTACACTGTAGCTGTCTTTAGTCACCCCATAAGAAGGCATCAGATCTCATTATAGATGGTTGTGAGCCACCATGTGGTTGCTGGGATTTGAACTCATGACATCCAGAAGAGCAGTCAGTGCTCTTAACAGCTGAGCCATCTCTCCAGCCCTCTTTACTCCTTATCTCTGTCACCAGAAGCACAAATGCTGAAGAGCCTGAACTCTGACTCACAACACACGGGAGCCAGGAGTTCCTTATTCATATAATAGAACCCACAAGCACACTTGCACACTTCCCCTCCCCCACTTCCAGCTGCACAGGGAACTGATAGGAGAGTGACCCCTCTGACCCCTCCTCTCACACCCTGGGCTAGGGTACCATGGTGGTGTGTATAGAATGCACAAGTTGTAGGTCCCCCAGAACTAGCTCGGTGCCACCTTATAGGGACTTCCTGCAGAACTTAATTTCAACTTGGAAAAATGGTTCTCAAGTTGAATGAACGATCATTACTTACAAATGGCGTTTCTTATCTAAATTCACAAGGAATTACAGGCTTCCCCCCAACCCCAGATGAGAAGAGAAACTTGGAGATTAACAGACTTGCCAAAGTCCACCCACCCAGTCGACAGCAACTAAGCCCAAGCCCACAAACTCCCCCAGACACCCCTCTTCTAATCCCCTAAGTTATGAATGAAGAAATAGACAGGAAAATACTCCAGGAGCTCCAATGGGACCCACCGCAGAACTCAGACCCACAGTTGGCTTTTTGTGCCACACTGCCACCTTGAGGCCACAGCAGGCCACTTCTGCCTTCATAGGCTCAGGCAATATCAGAAGAAATGAAGTGGCTTCCAACTTTAGGTGCCATGAGACAGAGGCAGGGGGATATCCATGACTCTAGGCCAGCACTGCATCTCCAGGCGGCCTTGAGATGTGCACTTAGGGCCCAACGAGCCCTCCTTAGAACTACCTAAAGCATCCCATCCCTTCGAGCTGTGCACGTGAAGCACAGAAATCAAGAGCCCATGTCACCCCGTTCTGTCTCACATCAGCAGAAGACAGAAAGACCAACAGACCAGAATTCCATGCTGCTTCTTGCATGCATCCACACGCTCCCACCCTCCCGTCTTACCTCTTCCAACTTATTCTGTCTGCAGGGAAAAGAAAAGGTGAAACCTAGAGGCAGCTTCTTATGCGTCAGATTTTTGGTCCTCATGAAATCTGCCAGACAGTCGGCTACGTAGTCAAAGAGCTGCCAGAAAGAACACAGGCACAGGGCTGAGGTGCCGCCTCTCGTGGCTGGTACCCAGGCCCATCCCTCCTGCCAGTACCTCCGTGCCATTCCCACGGGTGATTTCATTGGTCATTGGGTAGAACTGGCTCTCCATCTGGACATTTTGCTTGCCCTCTTGGGAGACTTGCACCTTCAAGACCCGAAACTTGGATCCTCCGAGATCCAGGGAAAGGAATTCCCCATTTTCTATGAGAAATGAAAACAGTCACCCGATCTGTGAAGATTCTCCTGTGGTAAAAAGCCGGACATACAGCAAGCGCTGTCCAGTGTCACAACCCCCTGTGGATTAGTAGCATCATAGCCTGAGGGTTGGGGAGAATGGTCTTCAGTCTGCTCCACACAGGAGTGGGCAGAGCTGGAACGGGAGCCGGGTCTACCTGATTCTGCTCCACTTGGTCAGGCTGGAGAGGATGAGCAAGCTCGCTGGGAAAAGGCACATGTGACCCCATCTTGTGAGCAAAGGGTGTGTGTCTGACAAAGAGCCTCAAGAGCAAAGCCTATACCCAGATGCTGTATCTAGGAAGGAAGCTGTTGTACCAATCACCAACATGAGCTAGAGAAGGGTACAGCAAAGAGAAGCCAGCCTCCCACAAGCCCCGGTCCTCGAAGGAAAACAGTCCAGAGGGAACAGCAGCAGGGACCAGATGGTTGACATTAGGATGCCAAGAATACTTAATTTAGGGGTAGGGGTGCACAATCTCTCCGATAGGAGCAGATGGTCCTGCACCCAGCTGGCCCAAGAAGGATGCTACAGAAGGAGACACAGAATGATACGTGTACTGGGAGAGGCACCACACACTGATGACACCTATGCAGGACCCTCGACAGTCCCTTTGATGTCAGTCACATGTATGGGAAGTTCTAGATGTATTTATAAAGAACTATCTGCCCGCAGGGTGGTTTCATAGGCCAGGTGTGCACACAGAAAGGAAAGCCCATGCCTGCAAACCCCAATAGCAGGGTCTGATGTCACAACATGGCAACCTTGGCGTCCTGTATAGCGAGGGTCAGCTGGACAGTCTATTGCCGCTCTTGAGCCATGAGAGGTGATGCCCAAGAACATCTCTAGCAGACAGCAAAAGCAGAAGACATAGGGAGGAGGTCCCCAGTTCCCCCAAAGCTGAGTGCAGAGAGGTCCCCGCTTTAGGATTTCCCAGAGATCTGTGTGCTTCCGTCTCAGTCTTTCCATGACAAACACGCCCGGACTATGTTCCAGAGGTTTCTCTGTTCTGGCAATCTGAGAGTTAGAAGGGTGATGCTTAGCTGACCAGAATAGCGCTGTGCAAACTGTCACACATGTACCTCTCTGGAAACCTAGCCGGCTGAGTCAGAGGAACGGCCTGGAACTCTGCATTCCTGAGCACACCCCCTGGCTAGCTAAGATGTCAATCATTTATAGACCCAGCCTGCTGGAATTTTGTTTCAGTGGAAGCAAGCAGAGATTATCTCCCTAGATTAGCACTGAACGGCGCCCGAGGGAGTGGCTTAAGGTTTATTACTGGGTCAAGGAATCCAGACACAAAATCCTATGCATTTATCTCATCCACACTGACAGGCGCTCACTCTGGTTATTCTGTCGGGGAGTGGGGCAGTCGGGAGGAGGAAGTCATGCAAATATTCACGGAGCACTTACTCCATAATCAGTGTCAGGTGCAAAGATGACAGGGTGTGAGCCCCCTGAGAAGGTGTGAGCCCCCTGAGGAGCTTATCAGAAGTACGGTGCTAAATCAGACAAATACTCTGCTTGGGAAGCTTGGGGGGTGGGGGTGGGGAGGGAGCAAGGAGGTGGGGAGGGAGGCCTGTGGAGTACGGGAGTAGGGTCACACATGAAAGGTGAGAACCCTCCAGTTCCCCACAGAGGGAGTCAGTCAGCAGCCAGGCAGAGAGGAGAGGAGAGTGTGTCCCAGCGGGGGATGGGATTGAGTCACAGATGGTGAGAATGAGCCATAGAGAGAGTTTAAGGAAGGCAAGGGCAAATCTGATTGAGAGTTTTGAAAAAGGCCTCCAGCCAGTGGGTGTTGTTCCACTGCAGGGATTCGAGGTAGCAAGCTGAGAACTGGTTAGTGTCAGTTCCTCCCTCTGTCCTTATCACTGTGCAAACACCTCGCTCACCGTGTGACTCAAGATGTCATTTCAGTGGAAACAATGTGGTATGATCCCTTCCATGTGGTATGACTCTAATCTCGGAGAAATGACTTCCTGGACCCTGGGGGAGGGAGGCCCTGCCCAGGCAGGACTAGAGAGAGTGGTAAGGACAGCCTTTCATAGCAATTATTAAGAAAATGGCCGCCAGTTGTGGTGGCACATACCAGTAGGATTTGCTGAAGGAGGCAGAGGCAGGAGGATCATGAGTTCGAGGCCAGCCTGGGCTACACATTGCTGGGCAGTGGTGGCACACACCTTTAATCCCAGCACTTGGGAGGCAGAGGCAGGTGGATTTCTGAGTTCGAGGCCAGCCTGGTCTACAGAGTGAGTTCCAGGACAGCCCGGGCTATACAGAGAAACCCTGTCTCGAAAAACCAAAAAAAAGAAAAAAGAAAATGGCCTTCCTCTGCAGGGGCTACTGAGAAGGCCGTTGGTAAATTGAGGGATTGCTGCACAAACCTAGGGACCTAAGTTCAATCCCCAGCACCTACTGGCTAGTCGCTGTGGCACATGAAGTCAGAGAGGAGGATCCTGAGATTTGGCAGCCACCCACTCTAGCCAATCAGTAAACACTAGGTTCAGTTAGAGACAGCTATTGAGGAGAAGCTATTGAGGAAATCCCTGAGAGTAACCTCTGACCTCCACACTCACGTACACACACGCACCCATACTCACGTACATGTATGCCAACATGCACACAACCATGCACAAAAGAAAACAACCTCCCGAGGTGGGGAGGTGGGGTTCGTTTCCCTGAATAAAAAAATAAAAAGGAAAGGCCATGGCTGCTCTTAGGGATGGTGAGGACGGTTTATTGTAGATAATGGGAGAGTCCAGAGTGGACATGGCCCTAAGTTGCACTGTGTGGGAGAAGGACAGGGGGAGGGAGAGAAGAAGAGAGGAGAACCAGGTGCAGCAGCCTGGAGACCCAAAGGCACAAAGAGGGTGGGTAACCAAAGAGGTTGGATTATATAGGAAAGCACAGCTCAGCCCCCTGGGCTGGAGAATTTGGGGGAGGGGGCTGGGTATGCCAGCCAGGAGGGCCCTGAGACAGATGGGGACTGAGGGATACCTGGAGAACCTGGTGGGTAGCCCATTTAACATGGCTCTCAGTCATTTGTCCCAGATTTGAAACCTAATGTTCCCTAAGTCACTGCTGGGGTGTGTACCTCCGCTTCTTTCCTACTTCCTAGTACAGTGTCTCCTACGGGCACCTGGAGACCAAATACAGAGATTTCTGGAGGCCCGTATTCCCCAGAGGAAGACGTGGAAACCATGTCTAGTAATTGCCCTGGTGCATTTGAATCTTCTGCCACAGCAATATGAAAACCAGGTCCTGTGGCCCTGGGACTTGTCACCCTGGTCTATATGAGCACATCGGGCCTTAGGACTCACCCTGATGCCCACCAAAGGGTGGAGACAGAGGTCAAGGGGACAGCCTGCTTTGTAGGAACAAAGAATCATCCCATTCCAATCTGAGATGGGTGTCGTCCATGCACTGCCTGGTGGCTGGGAAGGAGACAGATGCTAGCTACAAAGCCCTCACTCTTAGTCCCTTGGTCCTAATAAAGAAAGGTCCGTGTTAGCTTCCTGACTAAGGGGCCCAGAGTTCCATGTTGCACACGGCCCCTGTGCTCATGGGCACACTGACGAGACTGCAGGCTTCCTCCTGTGGCTCTGTCTGCTGTTTGATTCAACACATTTGAAAAGCCAGTCTTCATGGGGAAGCAGGAAGTCCCTTGGCTCTTCCACTGACACCTACAAACTGGTGCCACGTTCAGTGGTCCTAGGGGTTGCCAAGGGCATTCTGACTATTAGAGACCCTGGGCCCGGGGGACCTAGGTGCCACAGAATAGCATGGCACTGTATCATGGAATGAGAGGCTATCAGAGGATAGTGATGCCGGGTGTGTGTCCTGGATCGAAGAGAACAAAGATGTAAAATTTGGGAAAGAGTCTCATCTCTAAACTTCAGGAAGCAGCCCCACAGCCACCAGACTACCCAAGGCCACTTTCCCTTGCTTTGGAGCCATGCCCAGCACAGGTTAGGAGGACTTAGACCTGGCGCTCCTCACCACCCCACACACGCCCCGTGACTCAGGAGTCAGATGGCCCCAGACGACCTGTCAAGGACCACAGTCCCCAAAGCACACTCTTCTAGTGTCAGTGGCAGCGCCCAGATTTCAGAATAGGGTTACATACATCTCTTCGAATCACATGTTCCTCTAGGTAGTACATTACCCACAAGCACCCCCTGCAAAGAAGGATGAATGGCTCCCCCAAGCACTGGTCCCCAGAATTCTGTTAATCCAACTGGAGGTCCCCTAAGAATACCCCAAACTTCAGTCTTTGTTCATTCAATAGCTCTAAGGCTTTGAGCACGGATGCCCCAAAACTGGGAAAGCCTCATGCTTTCCAGTCAGACCCAGTAACAGCTGTCACCCCATGATGTTCGAGGAGGATCACATGCCAGAGAGACCTTAGCATTCTACAACGGCACTGTGTGCTCAAGAAAAAACCAGCACTACTTTTTTATCTTATGGCTTTGCCAGGACTGAAGTTGGTAAGGTGGGTGGGAAACTCAGAAATCCTTCAAGAGAGCACTAGACTATGGCGGTGGGCCAAATGATGCCCCTCCTCTCCCCCAGAGGCTCACATCCTGATCTCTAGGTCATATGTCTATATTAGGGTATATGGCAATGGTGAATCGAGGTTGTAGGTTGCAGGCAGACTCAGAATCAGCTGACCTTTACATTGGGAGATTAGCCTGGATTATCTCAGTGGGTCTGATGTAATCACAGGGCCTTCAGATTTGGAAGAGAGACACAGAGGGCCAGAGCTGTAGAAAGATCTGAAGACACACTGTTGGCTTGAGGATGAAAAAGGGCAGGGCAAGGAACATGGGTGCTTCTAGATGCTGGAAAAGGCAAGAAATCAATCTTCCTTCAACTGTCTCCAAAGTTTCCAGAAGGAATACAGCCCTGCTGACAACGTAACTTTAGCCGAGTGAGACCTATTTCAAACTTCTGTCTTTGTGAACTACAGCAGAATGTGTACTGTGTTAACCCATGATATCTATGGGAATGTAACCAGAGTCTCCAGGGACCGTGTTTAGGAGCCACCATGGGTGGACAGATCTTTTGCTCAGGAAAACATGGAACCCAGGTCCTAGTGGAGACTTACTGGGGTCATCATCTGGGCCTGGATGGACTACTTCAGAGTTCCTGGGCTCATGCCCAAGAGCAGAACAACAACAGTAACCCAATACATAAGAGCTGAGACTGTGGCTCAGCCATAGGGACTTGCCTAGCATAGCCAAGAGCAAAAAGAGCCAAGAGCCAAAGCCCTGGGTTTGATACCCAGCCCAGTATATGGATGGGTCACCTTCTCCCATTTGACAGATGAAGAAGCAAGGCTAATGGCTGCCTGAAGTCTCTAAGGTGTGACAGAGCTGGACTGGAGCCCAGATTCCTTGGATGGCCGCATAGTATTACTTCCCCACACAGGTCCTTTCAGTACTTACTGTTTCTAGCCTGGGATCTAAAGGCCCAGGAGAAAAGGCCACATACCATTCATTCAACACCTGTGTCAGGGGCTAGTATTTAGGAAATGCTCAGAACAGTATGGTAACTAAGCCCTGGCTTCTGGAGACTGTCACCCACAACTGTGGAAAGGGTTCTAACAAGCCCCTATCCTCGTATGGGGCTTCCTAGTGAGAGGCAGTGGGTGATCTCTGGGCTTCACCTGGAAAATCAAAGTGCAACAACAGGGGTGGTGTGGGGGAGACTCTGCAGCAGGGGAGCAAACACAATGAGCGAGGATGCTGTGGACAGAGGGAAATCCAAGGGCCTCTGCTGCGAACCCCAAAAGTGTTCAGTTAGTGGGACTGGGACAGAGGGAGATGAGAGGTTGGAAAGGGACGGAGGCAAGCAACGGATACTCATCAGCTAAGGAGCTGGTATAGGAACGGAGGGAAGGGGGTCTCAGTCAGCCTGAGCCCCGCTTACCTGAGCCATCTGGAATGGCCCTGACGAACGTGGGCAGCATCTTCACTGAGGCAGTGGGGTTGGTGTCCTTCCCTAAGCCTTTCTCCATCTCGGCTTGGAACCGGGCCATGATGTCTTCAAGGGTCTCATCCGAGAGTCGCATATGATACAGGAACCTGTCCACCTGGAACAGATGTCGGGTTGGCTAGGTTTGGCTGTTGCAGGTGCTTGCCCTCCCAGCTGAGGCTGTGAGCTCCAGTTCTATGAGCAGGTTCCTAACCTGCACATCGCCAGCAGGGAGGTGAGAAAACAGAATGTGAGCTGGATATAGGGCAGGTTGATTTCTGTCAAGCGCAAACTGAGGTGGAAGTAGTTCTTCTGTTTCAGTCCTGGGAAGCGGCGGGGTGGGGTCGGGGTGGGAGTGGGGAGTCGCCATGTACCACTCTCTCTCCACTGTGAAGATTAGCCATACCTCAAATCTCAGGTATCTACACTTTTCTCTTTGTCTAATTTTGTATTTGTTGTTGTTTGAGACAGGGTCTCACTGCATAGCCATGTAAACCAGGGTAGCCTACAACTTGCTAAGTTGCCCAGGTGGCCCCCAAACTAGTGATGCTCCTGCCTCCGTCTCCTGGGATTGCAGGTTTGTGTTGCCATGCCTGGCTTACCGCGGAAGCTTTTTTCCATCCAACCAACATATCCAAACACATTGCCCTTTGTTCATTGGCTGCTAGTTAGCTTAGAAGGAAATTTGATTTCCAATTGCAATCCTTCTCTGCATCTGTTACAGTTTGAGTGAGGTAGTGCTGTGATCCTAATGCAGATGTTTTGTTTTGCTTTTTGAGACAGAGGCTCTCTAAGTAAGTCTAATTTTTAAAGCTACATCAAAGCCTGGCCTGATGACCTATTTCTGTGATTCTAGCACATCAGCGGTGGAGGCAGGAGGATCAGGAGCTCAAAATCATCCTTGGCTACAGAGGGAGGTCAAGGTCAGCCTGGGCTATGGGAAGCCTCCAGACAGAGAAGCCAATCATGTCAAACTGTCATTGAAAATGAGATGTCATTTAAGTAACCAGGATAGAGGCGGAGGACCACTGCTCTGAAATATGGGGAGTTATAAAAATCTCTTGAAGAATTCCGTCCCCTTCATGGTAACATGACAGATTAGGAATGGCAGGAAAGTGTCTCAGTCAGCTGCTGATGCCAGTCTGGATTCTCAAACTCATGAGGAGGATTATAGATAGTCTGGAGGAAACAGCCTGTTACATTTATTTGACATCATCTCCTCCCATGGGGATCCCAAGGAGGCCTGAGCCCAGGCACACTCCTGGAGGGAGAACAGAATCCAAATCAGAGAACATGTGTTGCATTCTTCAAAAAGTGTCTTTTTGGATATCACCCCATCACCCTCCATGACCCTTTAAGGTGGTCAAATCTCAGTCTGTGGCTGAAGATGAGGCAGACAAGGATCAGAGCCTCAACAGGACAGGACTACCACACTCCACAGGCACACCCACAAGCTCCTGCACCAAAAGTACAGGCCTTACATCACCTTTGTCTTCTTCAGCTAGGCCTCAGAGGCCCAAGATGGCAAAATGGCCCCCTGATTCTGGGGCCTGGGGAGAGGGGCAGAGAGAGGCCAGAAAACTATCAGAGGCCCACCAACAAACAGAGGACAATTGAGCTTTCAGTGCACTTGAGAAGATAGGATGTAACCAGGTCATGCTCCATTAGGCCTTCCTCCTCGGCAGTTGATGACTAATTGGTTGGCACAAACTCGCACATATGGAGAAAACTGGGTAGGAAGGGCATGACCCAAGTAATTGGGGCAGAGGAAGGACAGACTGCTCTATGTCGGGACTCTGCTTGATTCTTTACTGTCCTGCTAAAGAGCCCAGACAGAGCCTGAACCCACTGCCCTCAGCCTGAGCCTAAAGAACTTCTCCAGACACACACAGACTGCCATCTGTGTACGACAGGGTGGGCAGGGGTCACAGGTAAGCTGCCAACTAACCATCAGTTAGCATCTTGAGTTGCTCTTTCGGTGAGCACTAGTCAGGGAAGAATGTCAACTTGGCGGGGGGGGGGGGTGTTGTTTTATTCTTTGTATCTTCCTAAAGGTGCAAAGTTGCTAGGAGGAGCCCAAGGCATGTCGGGACAGAAATGAAAAAGCCCCATTTTCAATCCAGTGATTTGGAGCATGTGTGAACAGGACACATGTCCTGGGCACAAGGACGTGAGTGACAGGAGCCCAAGCCCACTTCCTTAGAGTCTTCCAACCAGAAGAGAACAGAAGCTCTGGCAAGCTTCAGAGGGGTGGATGACAAGCCTTAAAGCTCAAGGCTGCTCAGTTATAAAAGGAAGGAGCCTGAAGGGACCCAGAGGATCGCTCAGTCCAAAGGTCTCATACTCCGAACTGAGTCATAAAAGACGTTCCACACTTTGACCTACTGATTTCACTTCTGAAATTTATTCTCAGAAAACGATCCCAAGTAGGGAGAATAATAAATATATGCCACTGTTGCAGCAGTTTGTTTTCCCCCATTGAGGAAATTTGGTTTGTATGCTGGGTTAAATCAGGGCGTCGTTTCTGGGGAGAACCTCAATACTACTGTCTTAATACAGTAATGTTTTAGTTGCTGGAAAGAGTGTTTTGAACTCTTCCTAATAACCAACAAGAGGGACAAGTGAGACGCCATAGGGCACACGGACTTGATGTGACTCGGGGAAGACATTGAAAGCTGATCATGGAGATAATGGAGACATATGTGCAGAGGCAATCAGAGCCGATGCAGAATGCGTGCCAGCCTAACCGTAAGAGCACACCATGAGCACACCGCGAGCACACCGCGAGCACACCGCAGGGCTGCCTCCAGTGCACACACGAGGGCTTGGGACTTGAGGGAAATTAAAGGTGGGTTCAAGTGAACATCTCCATAGTTTTGCAATGTTGACATACTAAACTGTGAACACACACACACACACACACACAGAGAGACAGAGAGAGAGAGAGAGAGAGAGAGAGAGAGAGAGAGAGAGAGAGAGCCCAATCTGCCCTGTTCTTATGAATGAACCATCTGTGAGAGTCAATGACCGGGTGCAACCCAGCATTACCAATAGGTCAAATACATCAATATATTGAACAGGAAATGAATGTCAGTCAGTGGCCTTCTTTTTGTCTTCATGTCATTCTGAGCTTTCCAAACACGGAGTAAGGGTCTAAAGAGTAATCTTTGAAGGCAAGCATGTCCCTTGGACCTTGACAACTCCAGGGGCAGGAAGTATGCAAACTGTCAGACAGGAACCACTGAATTACCACTCAGACAATGTACTTTTTGGCAAGCAGTTTTCGACCTGTGGAGAAATGTCCTCCAAGCTCTGATTCAGACTGGTTACAAACCAGTCTACTCACAAGCCCAAGGGACCTGCTGGGCTCTTGATTAGGGTGGCTTCTGGGGACCCCAACTTTCTTGCTTTACACAGTGAGGATGGGAACTCAACCCAGGTATTGACTAAGGCTGGCCCTTCTTGCAGAGGCTCTGGAATACATTGAGCCTGTTCCTGGGCAGGTGGACAAGCATGCTCCAGCTTTATCCCAGGCTAGCACAAAAGGCCAGCCACTATAGAGTCAGGGAAATGATGTAACTGCAAACTAAAGGTCTCAGTCTCAAAGAATCCCCTTAGGGCTGGCCTCTTTGCCCAGCAGGTAGAAACATCAAGGAATTCTGAAACAGGGCTGCAGAGGACTTTATACCCCTCAAGCAGTCAGCAGAGGGGCTTCTGGGAATCTAGTCGAACAAATGACAGAATGAAAGTTAAAGCAGATGGGTTTCTACTCTCTGGCTTGCCCTGGCTCTTGCCGACTGTAGACAGGGGAAGTCTACCCACTAGCACAAGGGGGCTACAAGGGGGCACACTTCCTCTTTCGAATTTTGAAGGCTAGAGGAGGCATCTGCCAATTTCAGTTTACTGTTAGTGCCTGGCTGCCCTTGGCTGAGTCTGGTTGCCTGGAGGACTCCTATTGCCAACAGAGATGCTACATGCCTCCTCTTTGTAGCTGTCAGCAGCCAGTGTGACCAGGGACACAGGCTGGCATCATTTTAGCTGCCAGGAGAGAATCCTGGCGTCATCAGTCAACTATAGCCCATCTTGATTTTGTAGCTGGGGCAAAGTAGCCAAAAAATCCTCACTATTACTAGGACAATAGGACATGCTAAAAATTACAACTGGGAAACTAAGACTGTAGTCTCAGACCAGTGCGGGCCATATAATAAGACCCTGTCTCGCCGGGCAGTGGTGGCACACGCCTTTAACCCCAGCACTTGGGAGGCAGAGGCAGGTGGATTTCTGAGTTTGAGGCCAGCCTGGTCTACAGAGTGAGTTCCAGGACAGCCAAGGCTACACAGAGAAACCTTGTCTCGGAAAAAAAAAAAAAAAAAAAAAAAAAAAAAAACACACACACAAAAAAGACCCCGTCTCAAGACAATAAAATAAACCCCACGTTTCTCTTGGTGCCTTTATGTGATTTCAAACAGGCAAATAATCAGATGCACTTTTACAAGTTCTGATTCTTTATAAACAGCTCACTTCCATTGTGGCCTCTCCCCTAAATGGCCCTGAATTGGGCACAAAGTTCCTGGAATTTTCTGAAGACTTCCAATATCCCTTATTTGCCAAGAGGCTCTGACTGAAAGCCAGGACGCGGGACAGTAAGGAACATGGGACACTTGCTACCTCTTCCTCACTGAGACATTCACTGGTATTGGCTCCTGGTATCTTTTCCAATAAAGTCTCTTAAGTACTTTTTCCTTTCCATGCTGGGTCTTGAACCCAGGACCTCACAGAAGCTTGGCAAGTACTCTACCACTATAACTATCCCCCACTCCATCCCCCAGCGCCTTAATCCCTTTTGCTGTTGAGAGGGAATCTGTTGGGTCTGTCAGTGTAGACTGGGCCAGACATCTCAGCTCCAGAGTCCTTACCTTCTTAATCTGGTCCTCCTTCAGCTTGGTGAAGTAAAACGCCACCAAGTGTACTGCAAACATGTTCCCGAGTTTGGTTGTTCCCAGACAAGCCTTCCGTACACTCTCTGGCTGCGGAGTGCTGCACGCCTCTAGTTCGGGCAGGGAGGTGGGTGCCTGGACTAAATACTTCCAGCTGCTCGGTTCAATGATTAAACTTCGCCCGTCTTTGGTCCCTCCCTCTGTCACACACTCAATTGTCTCACAGGAGGCTGTGGTGGGAGCTGTGGGCAAGCAGAGGGGAGGCTGGGGATTGACGGGTTACTTGACTATTTGAGAACTGGGCACCACAAAAATCTTGTTGCTAAGTGACACGCTCAGGCCTGTGCTCCAAACCCACTCAGCCAGGGAAAATCTTGTGAGAAGTTGTGGGGGCAAAACAAAGAACTAAATCCCAGTTCTAGGATTCCTCTCTTCTCAGCAAGGTAGACTCCTGGTCCCCCTAGACACCATCTTTTGTTCTGTTTTTTGTTTGTTTCTCTGTATAGTCCTGGCTGTCCTGGAACTCACTCTGTAAACCAGGCTGGCCTCGAACTCAGAGATCCACTTGCCTCTGCCTCCTGAGTGCTGGGATTAAAGGTATGTGCCACCACTGCCTGGCTTCTGAGGCACCATTTTAACTAAGGTTGACCAATCTCCTGGTCCTGCAGATTCCAGAAAGAAAAAAGAAAAATAAGACTGAGACAATCCCTCTACTGTGGCAGATAAGCTTATGAAAACCAATCAATACGACACAGTGGTAAGCCAGACAGCTTGGGGCTGGTGTGTGTGTATGTGTTTGGGGGTGGTATTAAGAAAGAATGGAAGCCACCAGGCCTTGCTGGAAGTGCTGGGCAGGAAGGGTGTGCTGCCATTGAGACACCTAGTTTTCTTGCCCACCGCTCTCATCATGCATGATATGAGAAGGGTCTGCCATGTGGAAACAAAACTCTTTGCTATCTTCCCAGCCACTGGCTAGTTAGTGAATTCAGTGAGGCTAGTGTTAGCAGCCACTGCCATGGTCTGGTCAGGGACCTTATTCGTCCCATCTTATAGATCAGATAGCTGGCCCTGAAAGGCTTAGTGACTTCCTCGAAATCACGGTTGTGAATGCTTCAGCCAGGAAACAACGCCAGAAATATGATTCCAGAGCCCAGCTCATGACCAGAACTCAACGCCAACTCTCAAACGTGTCTCCTTCCACCCAGTGCTCGTGTGGGAACTACTAAGACTCCGCTAGGTTGAAGTTTCAGCTAGCTGGAAAGCTAAGCACAGGCAGCTCTTCAATAGACTCTACCCAATAGGGAAGGGGGCTTCTTGAAAAACAAATTCCCGACTCTAGTCTTCCAAACACTAAGAAAATGCACTGTAAAATCCACAGCCGACTAGATGGCTATGGGCACCCCAGAGTCTCCTGTCTTCCACTGACCAGGTGGCCTCTGAGTAATTATGCTGTGTCATTCTGGTCAGCTTATAGCCTGAGCTCTGTCTGCTCTTCTGCTGCACTCTTACCAATGAAAGCAATGACTGACCACTGCCTGGTCAGGGACCTCTCACAGCTACCTCTTCAGAAAGCACCGCAAGTCTGCCTTAGGCCAGTCTTAATGAAATGATTACATACTTTCCACAGACTGACATAACAGCTTCCCCAATGGAGAAACCTCGACCCTTTCCATCTGTTTACCCCCAGACTATGACTTTTATCTCCTTTGCTTATCGCACAAGCAAACAAAAGGTTAACCTTCAGTTTCAGCTCAGTTCCAGAAATGCAGAACTGCTGGTACTCAGGAATGGTCTCAGACAACATCCTGGGCAGCCTGCCTGTCCAAGAACCATGCTGGTACCTTTATTCCCTCTCAAGCGCCTGTGTGCTGAGTCATCCTCTGCAGGCTGGGATATGAGATTATGACAAGGAGTGGGCAGAAGGAAAGCAACCGTAATCAAAGATCTCTGCGGTCTCCAGTAGCCTGGGAGGCAGGCAGGCAGGCAGGCAGGCAGGCAGGCAGCCTATGGGATTTCAGAGGCAAAGGGCAGCAAAGGCTTTCGTGTTATAGAGCGTACTGTGTGTTAAGCTCACGAGCATTTACCCTTCAGGTGTGCGTTACCCGAGCAACCCGAGGCTTAGTGACTATTAAAGGTCACGTGCATCCAGAGTCATCTGGACAGGCCCAGACTGCTTTATGGTCTCGAGATAAAACAACTGGCTTGCCATTTTCTCACAGACTATCCCTTGGTATGTTTTACCCTTATTAAAGCTGTGTAGTTAATCCAGAATGTCTGGGTGTGAAGTCATGGACTTTTGCTTAAGGACACGTGATTATTGTCACTGTTGTAATAGCCAATACGGATCGCCCACTTGACCTAGGACCTCAACCAACACAGCAAGAGAAGCTCTCTATACACACACACACACACACACACACACACACACACACACACACACTTCCATAGAGCTCTGCTTGAATCCATTATGGCCTCATCTAAGTCCACAGCAGCATCTGCTCTCCTTTAGGTCCCAAGCCTGGCAGGAGGTCTAGACAGCCCAATAAACCCTTCCTATTTACTTAGAAAGCATGTGGGGCTTACAAGGTGCTTTGCAGTACTCATCCCCACAGCAACACCACACTTCCCTCTTTACAGATGGAGGGGCAGAGCCCTAGATTCCCACTGGTATTTGGTGGAACAGAAATTCCAACACAGGCAGTCCTGCACCAGAGCACAGGGAGATCTGGGAGCCTGTTTGGAAGTACAGCCCCAGGCCCAGAGAGCAGTGGAAAGTGCACGGGTCCCAGGCTCTCCCTTTGGCTCTTCCTTCCCTCAAGGTGAAAGGCCAAGCTCACAGATCCACAACCACCCTGCTGGTCGCCCTGACAGGGAAGGGGAATTAGAGTGCACACAAAAGGCAGGTGGGCTTCACTGGGCACAGTAACATCACCACCTACTGAGCTCTTCTCACAGCTAGGACCCTCCTAAAATTCCTACTCAATCTCCTCCCACTTGGTTCCGGAGGAAAAGAAAAGGAGTGTAGCCTTTTTCATCCATTCAGTAAAATATAACCAGAAACCATGAGGAGGGACCTGTTCCATTTACAGTTAGGCACAGTTAGGAATGTTGTCAAAATATTGCTACTGGCTGGGTAGGGTGGCACATGACTTCAGTCCTAGCACTCAAAAGGCAGAGGCAGGTGGATATGTACTAGTTGAGGCCAGACTGGTCTACACAGCCAGTTCCAGCCAGCCAGGGCTACACAGAAACCTCAAAAAGAACAAAACAACAACAATAACAATGACAAAATTCCTGTTACTGTGTTTGCACAAGAATGTGTGTGAGCAAATGTCCATACAAGGGAAACCAATGAGGAACATCCAAACTACCACCAGGACAGTGACATCTGTCTTCAGAGGCTAGCACAGCGAAGCCAAAGTCCAGCAGCTTTCTCAGGAATGCCACCTGTCAAGGTCTACAGACTTGTTGCTCACCTCAAAGACAAGGAACGCTGAGGAAGAAGCTAACGCACTGGTCTTTTCAAATTGCAGCTCAACACCTGAAAACAGATGACAGAGAGACAAGCCACACGAGGAAATGCGTAAATGTGATTCGTAAGGCAGAAGACAACCAATTATAAAAGCAAATGAGACTTCTGCTTAGACATGGCAGAGACCCAAGAGCACAGGGCTGGAGAAGTGACTCAAGGTCGACAAGCACTGTGCTCTTCCAGAGGACCCAGGTTCGATTCCCAGCATCCACATGGCAGCTCGAAGACTAGTTCCAGAAACCTCTAGTTCCAGGAAGTCCTGGAATTCTGGTGCCCTCTTCTGTACTCTTGAGGACAGCAGGCATGTACGTATATGACACAAAGACATATGTGCAAGCAGAATATCCGTACACATAAAATAAACAAGTAGAATTTTAAAAACCAAAATAAAAATTAAAAACTCAGGAGGACAGAAACGAAACAAGACCTTAGTGTAAGTTTGGAGCATGGTGGTACACACCTCTAATCCCAACACTCATGAGGCAGAATTCTGACTGAGGCCACACTGGCCTCCATAAGGAGTTCTAGGACAGCCAGGGCTATACAGAAAAACTTTGTAGATAGGTAGGCTGACAGGCAGTCAGACAGAAACAAACAGTTAGACTGACAGACAGATGGGCTAGGGTCACGGTAGAAAAGGGCCTGCATATACCATGTTCCCAATGAAGTTGGCAAGAAGGCTCTGAGACAGCTCAGGAAGCAGGCGGAGGAAGAGAAGGCTTTCAAACAGGAATGAGAAGAGGAGCAGAAGCAGCCAAGGCTTTAATCCGAATACCCAGGAGCCAGAGGCAGGTCAGTCTCTGAGTTAGAGGCCAGCCTGGTCTACACAGCCAAAATTAAAACCTGCCTGAAAACCAAACCAATCAACCAAACAACCAAAACAAAAACAAACAAACAAAACCCCTGACCAAGCAAGAGGAATAGAAGAAAATCCAGGACTGAATTCCAAGGCCACAGGGAAGGGTCCCCTGGCCACAGAATTGAAATCTGGCAAAGGGTACAGTCACGATTAAAATAAAACACCCACATGGGAATTACCACAAGCCCACAAAAAGGTGACACTTCACACTTTAACAAAACCAAGGTGTTCTCATGGTGACAGTTTAAGCTCTCTGAAAGGGACCCAGGGCCACTCCAATCAGTTTTCGTGTGTGTGCCTTGGTATCCAACACCTCCAGTGTCTTCTGCTAAACCACGGGCCCTCCTGTCCCTGAGAAAGAAAAGGTAAAGGGGCAAACAATCGCTGTTCAAGAGTTTTCCTCAGCTAAGCACTCCAGTAGGCTTTCCCTGACAGCCCGACCTCCACTGCCCATCAGAGCTGTCATCTGTAAAAGCCCGCCTGCCTCAGTTCATGGGAATTATGTCACACCATATAGACAAGAATGACTGCACGTGATGAGTCACAGAGGAAAGCCAATCCTAGAAACCAGAGCTGCCCAGAGATACATCTCCTAGGTATTTCATTCCTTTACCCACAGGCACAGAGAACAGTCCTGCTCTTTAGCCTTTGTGCTCATGACGATGAAGTCGGAGATGAACACTGCCGTCTCAGGTAAACGAAATGCCACCCGACTCAGACTCTTCTAAGGAAAGCTG